GACCCGTTAACATATGGTAGCCCAACTGACCAAGTATAACATCAACCAACTTCAAACTGGTGTAGAATCGGTAGGATAGTATAAGAAAAGTTGTTGCGACAAGTGATAATACACTATAATACAACTTAACGTTAGAATGTTTAACTATGTCCTCAATATTTGATAATATGGGATAGCATGTATTGAATTTATCAGAAATATCAACCATGTACAACCACAACTGGGTCGTGGTTGAGAAAAAACACACATCAGCTGGGATCATCATCAGTTTTTCATATTTGAAACCACCAACTAGATAATACATAAGTGTAGAATAGTCAGAATGATTGATAATGTTTATACGCACTAAAGTGAAGCTGTTTCCATGACTTTAGTCCCCCAAACCTGGTTTTCCTGCCATAACCAACATCTTTGTGTCTCAAATCGAGCGCCATTTACAGTGACGCCCATGGGTCTCGGTAGATTGAAACATTGGTTTGTTCTTTCTTGGTAATTCGTCCATTTCAATAGCATATCAGAATCAACATAGGGATCATCTGCATCATGGACAATCAATCTGAAAGTCCTAAAATCAAATGTCGTCATTCCAAAACAGGAACCAGAAATTAGAAGCAATCAGTATGACGCCCCCATTTTTTGCCCCCCTTTGCCCCATCTTTCACTTACCGAGGGACGCGAGAATACTTATGGACTTGGTCGGTCATCTTTTCGACTTCCACTGGACCTAGGCGGCAAAATCCTGGTGATTTTGCCTTGCTGGGAGTATCCCAGACATTTCTGGTAGATTAGTCCTATGTGGGTTTTGAAATGGCAAATTCGTCCCGGACAAAAATGGGGACTGCTGGAACTGGGTAATCCCCATTTGATAGTGACTCAAATAGGCCTAGATCAGAGATGGTGCGCAGCTTGTTGCCCCATCCGCCATGGTATCGAAATTGGGGTTCTCACTGGCACGACCCTTGCCCAAATGTGTTCCACCCCAATCACGGCATCAGCCGCATCACAATATGATGTTTGGGATATTTTGGTACACTAAAATTACAAAAACACATGTTATAAATTGGTATCCTATGTTAATATTGTCTATTACACACTACAGGGCCAGGTTTTTTCCAACGCCAAGAGACAAATGTCTTTGAAAGTCTCTGTAGTCTCTGTGGTAGTATATGCAGCAGCCCTGGATTCTCCTTTTGGCACGGAAGCAGCACAACCCATTTGGGCGGTAGGCGGTGGAGTAGCTTGTCAGTGCTGTCGGTGCTGAGCCAAATGTCTGCGGGATGAAATCGAAATCGACGTGTGCGGTGCAATGTGGAAATGCCTGTTTGAAACAGATGTCTTTAAAAACACAAAAGATGTTAAACGCGGTCCATCTCTGGAAAAAAAGAAAGCATGATCTCTGCATATCGCAACAGAACTTGCAGAAACACATTGACATTTGATGCAACATCGACCCAGCCTCATCATCTCGTTGATGGTGATGATGTCATGGCAGCAGGAGAAATCAGCACGTGGAGGAGCAATGAAAACCGGAGTTGTGGATTTCATCATCTAAGTCCTCATATTCCTCTACCTGAGAAGGGGGGGGACGAAAGCCAGCCTCCAAACAAACGCTCAGGCGGCGTTTTTTCTTTGCGCTTTATGCTCTGTGTGTTGCATCTGAGAGCTGTGCACCACAGAGACCCTTAACCGTGGAAATGCCATTAAGAAAGAAGAACAAAAACAATGAAACAGAATAGGAAAGAACAACAAGAGGAAGAAGTTTTACACACAGACGCACAGACCCTTTTACAGACAAACCTCATTACACAGAAATGCTTTGACACTTTTTCACACAAACCCTTTTACGCACAAACATCTTCACACAGAGACGCTTTTACACACAGACCCTTTTACACACAGACCCTTTTACACAAAAACATCTTTACACAGAAATGCTTTTACACACAGACCCTTTTACACACAGACACTTTTACACAGACACTTTTACACACAGGCCCTTTTACATACAGACGATTTTACACACAAACATCTTGACACAGAGACGCTTTTTACACACAGACCCTTTGACACACAGAGGCTTTTACACACAGACCCTTTTACACACACATACGCTTTTTCACACAGACCCTTTTACACACAAACGCTTGTACACACAAACACTTTTGCACACAGACCCTTTTACACACAAACCTCTTTACACAGAGACGTTTTTACACACAGAAAGTTTTACACACAGAGACACAGACCCTTTTACACACAGACCCTTTTACACACAGACCGTTTTACACACAAACATCTTTATACAGAAATGCTTTTACACACAGACCCGTTTACACACAGACACTTTTACACACAGGCCCTTTTACACACAGACGCTTTTACACAGAAACATCTTGACACAGACACACAGGCCCTTTTACACACAGAGGCTTTTACACACAGACCCTTTTACACACACACACGCTTTTTCACACAGACCCTTTTACACACAGACGCTTTTACAAACAGACACTTTCACACACAGACCCTTTTACACACAAACATCTATTACACACAGACGCTTTCACACACAGAAGGTTTTACACACAGACAGACAGACCCTTTTACACACAAACATCTTCACACAGAGACGCTGTAACACACAGACCCTTTTACACACAGACTTTTTTACATACAAACATCTTTTCACAGAAATGCTTTTACACACAGACCCTTTTACATAGAGACACTTTTCCACACAGACCCCGGTTCGCACACACATGTTTTTCACACAGACACTCTTACACACAGACTTACACACAAACACTTTTACACACAGACCCTTTTACACACAAACATATTTAGACAGCGACGCTTTTACACACAGACCCTTTTACACAAACACACGCTTTTTCACACAGACCCTTTTACACACAGACACCTTTACACACAGTCGCTTTTACACACAGACCCTTTTACACACAGAAGCTTTTTCACACAGACCCTTTTACACACAAACATCTTAAAACAGAAACACTTTTGTCACAACGCGTTTACACACAAACAGCTTCAGACAGCGACGCGTTTACACACAGACCCTTTTACACACAGACCCTTTTACACACAGACGCCTTGACACACAGACGCTTTTACACACAGACCCTTTTACACACAGACATCTTTACACAGAAATGCTTTGACACAGAGATTTTTCTATTCTACACGCAGACACTTACACACAAAAACTTTAACACACAGACCCTTTTACACGCAAACATCTTTACACAAAGGCGCTTTTACACACGAACCTTTTACACACAAACATCTCTACACAGAAACACTTTTACACACAAACAGCTTCACACAGACACATGTTTACACACAGAGCCTTTTACACACAGACCATTTTACGCACAGACACCTTTACGCACAGACGCTTTTACATGCAGACCCGTTTACACACAGACCCTTTCACACACAAACGCCTTTACACACAAACGTTTTTTTCACACAGAGCCTTTGACACACAAACATCTTTACACAGAAATGCTTTTACTCACAGACCCTTTTACACACAAACACTTTTACAGACAGACCCTTTTACACACAGACACTTTACAAACATACCCTTTTTACACACAGACCCTTTTACGCACACACACGCTTTTTCACCTTCTTGTTGTTGTTGTTGCTGCTGCTGCATTTTTTTACGGGCATTTACTAAAGCAAAAAAATGTTCATGTTCATTTTTAAAGCCCAAAAAGCGTCAATTCGGTGGTGTTTTCGTGTTTTTTGAAGCGTGTCGGAGCAAAAAACACCGTAAATACCGTGTTTGTTTACGCCTCGCAAGCCCAAAACCACGGTATTTACGGTGTTTTTTGCTCCTAGTAGCAAACACCACGGTATTTACAGTGTTTTGTGGCCGGCACCTAGCAAAAACAGTGGTATTTACGCAGTTTTCAGCATGTTGCAAGAAGGACTTGTTCCATGCCAAAAGCCCAAAAACACTTTAAATTACAGTGTTTTGGCTTTTGACACCCAATGAAAAACGTCAGAAAACAACCAAAACTGTCCAAACTGGAGCTTTAAAAAAACGGGGGGCGGCAGCTCATTTTTGGAGCTCTCCCCAGCCAGGCTCTGGCCTCACCTTCCCAAACGGGCCCGAATCAGAACCTCCCCCCCCCACACCCGCCAGATTAGCTTCGCTTCGCTTCGCTAATACCTATACTCAGCACAGGCCTTCGGCTGGCTTTCGTAATATAGAATGAATAAATTATAATACGTTGACTATTATTTGTTTCTTGATTTCCCCCATGATTTATTGATTCGACTTGATTCTTACTTTCACTACCCTGTGATATCCGCTGGTGCCCGATGATTGAATCACTAGTCTTCAAAGAAAACGCGATGTGATGCAATTTGAAGTCGGGAGCACTAAACATGTGTATCATGTATATCCATGTATATCATGCATATCCATGTAATATCCAAGTCAAAGGCTAAGGTATTCTTCGATGTTTTTTTTGCCAAAAAAAACATGTATAGATGGGTTACTGCTGCCGCGAGTCCAGTAGATTGCCATGTTGCTGACGCATTGCTGCCATATCCGTCATGAAAAACAACTCATATCTTCAGTGTCCCATGACTTGACATGTGTTTCAGCCATGGAAAGTATGGGAAGACATTATCCAATCTTATCATTATCCAATCTGCTGTCATGTCCTGAAGCTCCAGCTTGCACTCAAGCTGTTTGAGATGAGTCCTGTCCGCCTGCATCCATGCGAAGCTCGGATATCACCACCACATCATATGCCAACTGAAATCTGCCGTCCAGATCCAACTGACATGCCCCTTCTAGTTTTCAACACCTCAAGTGCTGCGTACTATTACCTGTGCAAATACTATCCTCATGTGTAAATTATATTATATATATATTATATTTATATATATATATTATGATAAAATGTTATAAAATGTAAAAAGCCTTGATCAATCCTCAACTGAAATCCTGGACGATCATCTTTTGTTTACTCCTCAGAAGCTGCGCAGGTTCTCTCCATTTGATTCAGAAAGGCCCCGGCATCCGGACCCAGCAAGCGGTCGTTCACCACGTGTCGGCCGTAGTACTCCAAGACTTTGTTGAGTAACGGCAGGGTGAGCAACGTCAACACCGACAAGGCCAAAACATGACTCTTGGCGGCAAAACGTAAATGGAATACACAGATACAGGCATCTCTTCTACCTGTATCGATGTTATGCTGTACATATCTGAACCAATCCTCCAAGTGTTGCTTCGACAAAACAATCTCTTGTTGCAGGGTAGCGCTGTGACCCAGATGTTCCGCCCAATTCCGGGGAAGCAAATCCATGATGGCATTGTGGAGCTTCTCATAGATGGAGAAATTGAGCTTTCCAATGCGCCAAGAAGTGATTCCCAAAGCTGCCAAGAACATCACATGGCGAAACAAATAATGTACCAAGTTGAAGGGAAGAGAAGCATCGCAGGATTGTCGTGCAACATCTAAAGCCAGGTAAGCAAACCTTTGCAAAAAGACGTATCGAATCAAGGGAGCCAAACGTTGTTGGAGCGCCTTGACCTCATTGGTCAACGAGAAGTGTTGTAACCATCGCTGTCTTGGGCTCAGTTGTGGAAAGGTGCGGGCAAAATCATTGGCCCGATTTTCCAAATGTCGACATTCCCAGCAAATGAGCAAACAACTCATCGCAAAGTAGGCCCGGTGTGCTCCCAGCAACACCGCATAGGACATCAAGCCCATCACTGCTCGATGTAAGACGTCATCCACCAAGTGGAACCGTGAATGACCAAAAAATCGATGCGCCAAAATGGCGCAAAGAACGAAGCTGGCAGCTGGAAAGGGATACAGCAGCATGAAATAAAACAAATCTCGCCAACTTCCCAGGATCAAACGCCTTAAACGCCATCTTGAGAAATCCGGTGTCCAGGATTGGAAGTAGGGTCGCATTCGAAAGATGTCGACCTCATCATCGCGATTTCCAAGAATTCCCGCCTCCCAGTGGGAAAGCAAACCACATTCCAAGGCTGAAGTGAGCAATAAGACCAGCAAAGCACGTCGAGCATAACATGTAAAAATGGGATGATCCACTTGTTCTCCTTGACAAAATGCCTTGAGACTGTTGTCTTTGGCCGGTAACCTTGCAAGTTGATCAAGGCCCAAACAAAAACCTATTCCCACACCCAGTTGGAATAGTTAGATTTGAGACTTGAGGAGTAAGCGAAAAAAATGTTTTTGTATTTATTTATTTTTATGATTTTTTTATGTTTTTTTTTGATTTTGATTTATGAATTGGAAAATTGGTTTTTGGATTTTATGAAAATTTTATGATTTTTTTTATGATTTTTTTATGATTTTTATATGATTTTTTTATGTTTTTTTTCTGCCCACACCGCCCTCAAAAAAACAACTGGAAAAATCATAAATTTTTCATAAAAAAATCATAAAATTTTCATTTAAAAAAAAAACATAAAATTTTCATAAAATAATCATAAAATTTATGAAAAATATATGATTTTTTTATGAATCATAAAAAAATCATAAATACCTAGAACCTGGAACATCCAAAAATAAATGGTCGAAGACCACTTTGGCCTCAGATGTGGACGTTTCGAATTTCATGAAATTTCACGAATTTGTCCATTCTTGCCCAAAGCTATCAAAACACAACAAGAATGCAGAATTTGGAATGTGCACTGATGTTTTCTACTTTTCTGCGTCCATCGCTCGCTCAATAGCAATCAAATACCGGTAAAGCAGCTTCAAACCCTGCAACCTGGGAGAAACGCGTCTCGATAATCTTGCAACTTTCCCTATGAAATCCTCCGCCATAAATGTTGATTCGCTGATGCAGTTGATGACTGCTGCTTTGTCTATTCGATATTGCAAGAGCATCCTGAGAACTAGGTGGGCAAGCATATGCAGTTTCGGTTTCACTGAAAAGAGGCACAGCTTATTCCGCATGCACGCTTTGGTCAAAGACATGTATCGTAGAAGGAAAAAGTGACCACACTTGATTGCTTCACCAGCTTGCTGTGGAGTCAGGAAATATTCCGAACTCAATAAAATTCTGATGAAAGTACCGATCGCCTCAGAAGCTTCAGCGATTAACTTCAAGATTTCATCGCCCGCATAGATAGGCAAATGGTCTTTGGCAACCTTCTCCACAAATTTCATCATGGTTGCAGTGTCCAAGTTCTTGGACCAATGGCCAACAGGGAACGACTTCGAAGACTCGTATCCCAGGAGTTCAAAAGTCAACTTGGAAAAACTGATCCGATCTTTGGTGGCATTGAGATATGAACGTAGTTCCGCGTTAGCAGTTTCCAGGCTAGAATCAATATTCCGCGCTTTGAAGATTGACCAAAGAAAGTAAATGCAACTACTGGCTGAAAAATCTTTGCCCACCCCCGCGTGATAAATGTGAAATATGTCTGGTCTGTAAAATTCTGCTGGCCGACGCTGGTCAATGGGCAAGTGCATCAGGAGAGGACTCGGAACAGTCCAAGGGATAGGGTTATCCACACCTGAAGTACGTATCCACTCTGCACTCACGATACTTGTGTCTTCAAACCGAGGGCCCCCAGTCATCCCCGCCGAGCAGAGCCAACAAATACCTGGTAGTGCTGTGGTAGCTTGGGAAGATTTTCGCACATTGTGAAACGAGCGGTTGTGGAAACCAACTTCTTTGAGGAAGGGGGCATCTCCGGTCACACCAAGGACAGCCACTTTCCATGTGTGGCCACCGTACTCAAAGCCTTCATCAAGCAAACAGCGCAACTCTTTCCCCCACACATCCAGTAAGGTATCCAAACGATCAAGTGCATGCTTGTAGTGCAGGACATTGATACCAGCAAAGAGAAACCTATTGGCTAGACTGTTGCCCAGCAAATTGATTCCCATTTGGCAATCATCATCGTCTCCCCATTTGTTGTCATGGCGCTTCCGCTTCCTACTTGAAGCAGATTCAGGCCGGGCAACTGGGTTTTTGGCAGTTCCCTGTCCCAAAGCAGAATACATAGATAAAACCAATATGGACCCTTTCTTGTAAGTCCGTCCACCATCTCCATGAAGGTAGTAAGGCACCAAACGGTTGAAGTCCATTCCCCAACCAGGGTCAAACAGGTCGTGATCCCCGTGGATTTTTCGATATTTGTCCCAGAACTGCGAGAAAGTTTGTTCAGCACGGGATGGCGGCACCCCCAAAACTTTGTCAATGAACCCAGCTTCGATGGTCTTGCGGATCATGTCTATAGGCCGTATGCAAGGATACTGAAAATCATCACTGAGAGCTATGGATGTTATGGGGGCGTCAAACGCGTATCCAGCTTTTTTCAATGCTTCAAAAACTCTGTTGTCAGCATCATGCAGCGGGGCTTTCGAAATTTTTTTCAGCACCAAACACGGGTCACGCTTGACTGCTGACCGTGCATCTTCCACGAGTTCATTGGCAGGAGCCTTGGGCACCGGCAATCCTATTGGTTTGGTTGGTCATATTAAAAGTCATGACAAAGTCACACCAATCCACGGAGATTTCCGCACGGCGATTATACCTTTTAATTTTGATAGGGTTCCACTCGAGCATGACAGAGGGCAACACGGAATATATAATATATATAAGTATCGAAAATATAAACATATAACTGGACCATTCTGTGGACATTGCTGGTTTTCCCCACCCGACTTCTCAAGTGAAGACGTTGCAGGCGTGTTACTCCACGAGCATAGCGCGTCGCAAAGCGCCGCACTTGGTCGCTCACCTCAATATCACCTGGCTGGGAGGCTGGCACTGGTCGAATAAGTGAGGGGTTGCAAGGGTATAGCCGCACAACTTCAGATGTGGTCTTGTATTGTTGCAGCACTTTTGAAAGCATCAACAATATGCTGGCTTTTGCTGTCCGATGCACTTTTGGAAGCAGGCAGCTGTCATTTTTTCAAGCTCGTACTTTGGACCGTGCCCCAACAACCATGGGTTCTAGGGTGTGTAAATAGCAAAGCCTTTGCCTGCAAGCACACCTTTCCCGGCTGTCAAACCCCATATTTTCTCCTAATGCACTGACATATTTCAGAAAACACGCTGCAAAATGCAGCCATCGATCAGTTTCGCAAGAGTTCAATCCTCGGCCTTTGCAAAGTCCTTGCTGATCTTTCGTGCCTTTCCCACAAAGCGCCTTGCGGGGACTAGAGCTCCCAAAATGCGCCAAAAAAGGGGCATCTGATGACTATGAAGGAAGAAAGAGATGACCATGCCGAACTGAGGCCCTTGCTTCGACGAGGCTTCCAGAGCCGTGGCTTTGGACATCCTTGCTGGGAACTTGGAACAGCAAAATCGGGAAGTGTACCCGGGGCCCAAGTAGCCAAGGAACTAATTCAACAACTATAGTTATATAGCTGCCTGGATTGAACTCAAAATAGTGTCCAAGGGTCTGCTTCGTAGCTTCCTTGAACTGGGCATCCAGCTTCTCATTGATCCTAGGGCTGGTTCTTGCACGACATGAGAGATGTAATGGGCCTTTCAGCTGTCAGAACCGAATGGAGTTTTTCATGACCAAATCAGATTGGGGCTTTCAGACGAGAGACGCTGAATTATGACCGACTTGAGACAAGAATCTCTGGTGTGAAGCTATTGCACTGACCTTCAGCTTGAAGTTCTGCCATAGTATCATAGCAACTCTCCAATGCCGTCACAATCCCGTCCAGCTTCTTCACAGTCCTGGGCTGAGGTGCGAACATCTCGGAGGGAGAGTGTGGTGGCATCCACTGACCTGGAGCAACCAATACTGGGGTGAGGCGAGGATCTCCTTGCAAGCTTCATCTTCCAAGGAGCGAATTTTGTCAACCACGCTGGCTAAGGAGTTCTTGGATTTCAACGTGTTTTTCATGTAGTCCTTGACTTTCATTTTTGCCTCAAACATTCAGCGTGGGCATGGGTTCGAACAAAACAATGGGCTGTTTGCAATATCCGTTTCTGATTCCAAAGCCATGTTGCACAGACACTTCCGTCCCCAAGTTCTTGCTCCAAAGGGGCACCACCAAGACCCCCGGGGAAGCCACCATTCAACTCATCCAAACCGTCAGGCATCCCAGAAAAAAAGTCAGCACCAACCGCTGTGTCTTGTTCATGACTCCGTTTTCGGGACAACTCCTCGATGTCCTCTCGGGAGAGCACACCCTCGGTCCTGATATTCACCCAGTACTCGTTGGTGTCTTCGTCGTACTCACACTTCCTTGCTGCTGATGGGTTGCAGCAGCACAAGGACTCCATGAGCAAAGACCCCACAGCAATTTGCCAATAAAGAAGTTTGTCCGATAAGCTGTTGAGGTGTTTATTCGCGCGTGTGTGTGTGTGTGTGTGCCTTTATCACTTTACATTCACTATACATTAAAGCGCAGGCTCCATGAAGACGATTGGATGAGACAAGTCTCCGGACCAGCTTCTTGAGAGTGGCAAATTTCACGATCTTCTCAATCCGCTGCCTTGGATGAGCAAGCAATGGATTGAAAACCTTGTTGTTCCTTCTTTTTCTGGGGGGGCAAGTAAGGCATGCTATCAAGCTGGCATGCAACCAAAAAACGCTGTATATCCAAGTTCGGTTCTCATGTCCTCTTCACTGTAGAAACCACCCTTGACATCAATTTTTTTGGTCTTGCGGGTGACGCTCAGAAATTCGACACGTTCCAGGAAAATAGCCTGGCAGGCAAATGTAATGGAGGCTCTATGGCTTTAAAGGGCAGTTAGTTGTATAGAAAGTGAAAATGACAGAAAAAAAGAGAGAGAGAGATATATATATATATATATGACATGAATTCTCACTCCGGTTTCCAACTTGAGACTAAGACTATGAAAATTTTCAGCCATGGTTGAGAGCAAATGCTTTTGCAGTATCTGGCCTTGATACCGCCACTCTTGCACCACAACCGGAGAAGCTTTTCTTGACCCTTGGGATCTTGCCAAAGCTTGAAAATATCCTCTGGGACTTCCAAGCGTCCGGTCAATGCCTTTGGGGTTACGACCCTTTTGACCTTTGCGATCTCGTTCTTGTTCAGGTCCTGGTACCGCAAGACGGCTGGATCTTCAATTTCTGTCGTGTCAGCTTCAGTCGGAACCTCAGCCGTGTAGCAAGGCCTAGAATGTATTAGAATGCATCATGCATCGATCTTGGGTTATTATTATGTTTTGGTATTTACCATAGTATATATAGAGCTACTAGCATGATACGGGTATATATTACATATATATATATATACATATCATGTATATACCCTAGGAGGGTGAAAATTCCATTGGTTAGCTAGTTTGGTGTTCAAGGAGGGTCCTTGGGTTTTTTTTTCCACCCCTACCGCTGTAAAACTTTCATTCGATATGGAGACCAAGAAACAGGAGTTGTGGGAGAGGGCACTGTCTCCATGTCAGCCGGTTTGGGAGGAAATGTGGGTTCATGCGCATCTCCATGTTGTGGCCCCTTTGCCCCAAACACATTGGCCAACTTTTCCACATCATCAGCTGGAAGCTTAGATTGCAACTGCTGCAGCAGCTCCGGGTTTTTGCCAAGGATCCCGACAAGCCAGCCCGCCTCCTCAGCGGTGAGAGGGTGCAAAGATAATAATACCCATCAAAGATTCGCAACTGGTAAACACTTGAATTTAATGGCTGCATGCTTGACTGGTGGAAATGTGGGAAAAACCCTGCAGCACATAAATCGAGAAACAAGACTTTGTGGACGGCGCTCTGGAGAATCATCCCGGCTGGTACTTTCACCATCAGGTGTAAATGGCACAAGAGGGGTTCCAGTTGACTTTGGAAGCGGTGGGGTCCCAGGGTTTGAGAGTGTACCCGAAGCCTTCTCAAAAGCAGCATCCAACTTACGAACAACACCTCCCTTGCCCTTCCCATTCCCGGCCCGATCGGGGGAATGCAGAAGCCTTTGAACCCGTTGCGCCGTGTTCGGCACTGCCTTAGGCTTGACCATCACTGCCTTTGCTGGCACTGCGGAAGGCCCACGAAGCTCAGTGCTGGATGATGGCTTGGGCGGTGGTGAGGGCATGATGTTGGGATCAACAGCAGCCATCTTCAAGTATGGGCTCATTGGGGGAGCCGCTGGCGTCTTAGCACAAGTTGCAACCAAAGGTCTCGCTTGGGTTTTGATAGACAAATTCGGAGTGGGAGATTCAGCCGCCTGCAAGGCCCCAAACTACTATATATAACATATCGTATGCGAACACATTGTATAGGAGTCGGTTTTGTAGTAAGATATCAATTATTATGGTTTGACATTATTTTTAAAAGACTTCGGCCCGTGAAAGCACCAAGCCCATTGTGGACAGGCCTGACGCTTCGCGCAAGGGATACGACCAGCAGCAGCCAACTCCTCAACCGTAGCGGGGATAGTGGTTGCCGTAGACATCGCACTCCCAGCACGCCGGACCTGGCCTACGTGCTGGCTAGCTAAAGAGAAGCAATTGGCCATGACAGACTTCAAAGCATTCTCATCGACATTGGAACCAGCCAACTGGCCATCCCTGCCCTGCTGAAAAACGTGAAGTAGCTGCTCCAAATCTTCTAGATTATCAGGCAGCTCATGCTTGATGCGAGCAAAAAGGGAATCTTCATTCATATGGTTAATCCCGGAGAGCAATGATGAGGCCGAATGGGCGTTGCGAAGAACATCTCCATGGCCCGCAGCTGACATGCCTCCAGCAGGCTCGGGTTGTCACCTAAAATATCAGGTTTCGAAGTTCGAATTTCGAAGCCCGAATTTTGAAATTCGAAGCTCGAATTTCGAAGTTTGAAGCCTGAAATTGCAAAGTTCGAAGTTCGAATTTCGAAGGTCGAATCTCGATTTTCGAAGTTTCGAGGTTCGAAAATTTGAATATCGAAGCATATCTTTCGAACAAAATGCGAAAAATCAATGAATTTTGAAAGTGGTCGTTTGCGCGGATGGAAGTGACCTTTTCGCATGTGGAAGTGGACTTTTCGCAGGTGGAAGTGACCTTTTCGAAAATCCCAATTTCGAAGCAAATCACGAAAGTCAACTTCGAAAGCCATATTTCGAGAAAAAGATGCCTCTTTTGAAAGTTACGCCGAAACCCTAGAGCTATATACCCGGGTTTGCCCCCCAAAAGTTTGACCCAACCTATAGCATAGATAATTTGAGAAGTATCCGGGCCTATGTCAAACTTGAGGGGGCTAGACTTCAAAACGATTCAAAAAGTGTATATGCTTAAATTACCATGGTTCTAGGTAGCATGCAGCATTAGTCACGGCACATCCCTGTCAATGCAGGCCGCTGCAGTTTGGCCGGGCCTTGCCCGATCAAATGGAGGAGAGAGCTGCTCGCAAGATCGATCCACTTGCTGAATGGTGCAGTTCAACAATCTAACCCCACATGTGCATGCAGGCGGTCAAGTTAGCTGAGAGTTGAGTCAACAAACACTGCCAAGCATTGCGTTAGTGTTTTCATTGCCATGCGACAGATCCTACCCAGCAGGCGCATGAAAGCATGCGTCCATTTGCAATAATTGAATTTTGGGCACACTGGTGAGCTACATATATTCAAAGTGAGGTTGGGATTAGCCATTCCCAGCCCTTTGGTACACGCAGGCCTTTGGCACTGAAAATGTATCTGGCTACTTTTGGCAACCCGGCATCCTCCCAGAGGTCACCCAAATCGCCATCCCCCCAAAGATTGGCGAACTCAGCGACAGCTTTCTGTTGGTCTTCCCTGGCAAGCGGTAATTGTGGAGAATCTCTTTCCAACATCTTTGGCAGGAGGGACGCCATTTTCATTCCGAACTGCTTTGTGTAAGTCCTTGGATCGGCAGAATCAACTTGCAACACATTAGTTGGTAATTTCATGACGAAAAACTGATAACAACTGATCCATGGCAGGTATAGAAGAGATGTTACAAAGGGCCGCCTAGAGTCTGGGTCGTCCGAAGTGCCCGTGTGCCATGATAACGGGCCCGTCCAGATTTGTCTTGATATTTTCGGACAACCTTTGTTTTGGGGAATGCCTTTTTCAGGGCTTCCTTGAAAGCTTTGTTCAACTTTCCCCTCCAAAAGTATCGGATGAAGGGGTGGTTAGACCAAAGTGCTGTTCTTTTAGGTGTTTGTGATCTGTAATGACACATCCAGAACCACGTTCGCCACACCTGCACCGGGGCAGCTGGGATGGAAACCTTGTATCATACATGCACATCGGATGCACACCTATACTTGCAAACAGTTTGTCATACTTGGAGCTGGCCTTTGTCAGTGCGCACAGCTCTTGAAAACGAGGGTGTCGATACATCAATGATGAAGCCGGCTGCTCCAATATGAAAACCCCATATAAAGCCAGTGCAAGAAGACACCCCAAAACACTCCTTTCAGGGCAGTGCCATGGTTATAATGACATGGGAATTTTGCAAGCATGGCATACACTGTGAACGTAATAGGTCAACAGTCCTTCCTACCATCTCGTTTCCTTCCGCCACTGCGGCAGAAGTTTGGCATCCAAGAGGATCTAGCCAAGTTCTATGGCACGAACCTTGAGCGATGCTCACCCAAGTGCTGCATTTGATGGCCTTCCACAGGACGAAGCCTTTCCGGTCTCCCTGCAAAATGCTGGCGCAATGTGTCCTGGGCAGCAGGGAAATGCCAATGGACGTGGCTGGCATGGTCCCAACGCAATCGTTTCATAATTAATTTGATTCGATTAACTACGGCTAGGTTCAAGAAACCACTCTCTTCTAAAATGTTCATGCCCCTGTGGTACTCATAGTCCAAGCGGGCAGTTGATTCTCCATGGGTCTCACGTACGGCCTCTGTCATCTTGGCCAGGCCGGCATACTGCTCGATAAATTGGAAACCAACCTGCTGGCCCAGTCATGCAGCGCATGCAGGATATCAGAATTCACCACTAGCAAATTAGCTTATATAGGAATCAGACAGGGATGGAGCGACCTATTGCTTTGAATGGTTGACTGGTTGACCTTTGCAAACTTATGTGACCACACCTTCGGTAAGGGTATACGGTCATTCCAAAGCACTGCCATGATCACCAGGGCGAAGAGCTGCCAGCGGCATGTCAGGGATACATACATGCATTGGATCATGCGTGGCATTGCATGGATGAGGTCGAAATCTATCCTTCAAAATGTTATTTAAAAAAACTGAGCTAGACAATAAGGCCATCATTTCGTACGAGGGTAGCTATATATATATATAAACAACATATTATATATATATATAAACAACATATATATATATATAATTATATATTATCATGCATGTCGTCAGCCTTAGGCGCACCAACTCGTAAGAGTCGGGTGCCCACATAAAAGGCATCGTGGCGACCACCAAGGTTCATGGCCCACCAATATGAAGTTGAGCGAAGTGCTAGAGCCAGACTCTCAACATCACGGTAGGTTGCATCGACAACTGCGTGGAGTACTGTCACATTTGACCCCCGAAGAAAGGTGGCGGGTTGAAATTTACAACATGGTTGTGCAAAGAGCTGATCACAAAAAAAAAATGGCGAGTTCTTGAATTCCTTCGATCCACCAATCTTTTGAAGCATTCAATATGCATGGAAATATTGATACTGCACATACATACCATTATCATATATCATGTTGCGCCCCCCACGACAGTGCTTCGACCAAACTTGCCAGGCCAACCCAGGTGAAAATCAGGCAGTTCATCATCTGCCAGGAAGCCCAGGAGAGCAGCCGATTTGGCCATAGGCGCCACGTACCTCTGCAGGCAAGGGCTGGTATAATACCGATTAATTGGGGTTCGTGACATCGACCGTTTAACAAGCATTTGACCGTTTAATTGGGGTTCGCGGTGTCAACCAGAATCCTCCAGAGAGATTGAGATTGGGAAAATTTGTCATTGCGTTGGCTGGTGAAGCCCCTTATGATTGAAAGAGTTGAACTGCTATGAGGTGTGCATCTTATCCCACCACCACACATTTCACCCATCTCGAAACCACTACGCATCAGTTGCACAACCTTTTTGAAGTGTTGCCTGCCGCTTGGTATGTCTGATAGATCGACCATGAGCCATAACCTAGGCTACCACTGCAATCCTCCAAATCGCGGATTGTAGTCTAATCTCATGTTCATTGGAAAAGAACGCAGCCAATCCAAGCAATGCCTTGCATGGTGTGGCTTCAAAAGTTGGCCTGTGAGGCCCAATCAAATCACGTGGAGCTACTCAGTCGACATCGGCGCTGAACGTAGCGCCAGGCACTGCATAGGGATCTGAGCGTATGGGCCCGGGAGATCATATAAAATAATACTCCACTGATGCAACGCCCCAAATGTTTAATCCATGGGTTCAGAAACAACTAGAAAAAGTTGACCCTGTTGAGACTAGTAACTGATATCGGCAGAATAAAAGAACATGCGGGCAGCCTTCTCGTTGATGTATGACACCGGAAGCTGCGGGTTGCTCTTGAAGCGCGCAGTCACAAAGTGGTACCAACGATCCTGAGACAGGGGAGAGGCATGGCGTATGGGCCACCAACGAAAGAAAGTATGTGCCATGTAGGGAGACTAGGTATATACCAGAGGCTGGAAACATATCTGAATACTGATTGTTTGCCAATGCGGGTCCTCACAAATGACCTGGTTGGTCAACTTGTCGCGAAGAAACCTATTGTAGGTCTCCACCAAGGCATGGAATCTTTCTGGTTTGCATGCGGGGGGGAAGCGCTTCGCGAAGGTTTTCTTTGCAAGCTCAGCCCTGCTCGCTGGAATTTCCTTGTTTGCTTTCTTCGCACCTCGCTTGGGCTTGGGGTCGCTGCGTGCACTGCGTGCCTTTGCCTTTGCTTTACCTTTGGCCTTAGGCTCAGCAGCCTTTGCCTTAGAAGTAGACACCCTTTTGCGTTTCGGGGGGGGGCTCTTCTTCCTCTTCCTCCTCCTCCTGCTCCCCTTCCTCTACAGCCTCCTCCTCCTCGCTTTCTTCCTTCGAACCTTCCTCTTCTACCCCTCCCTTCTCTGTTTCTGGCTCACCCCAAAGCGCATCCTCGTCAACTACCGGCGCATCACCCACCTCAAGCGCAGCCTCAGCTGCGGCTGCTGGTCGCTTACGAGCAGCCCTCTGCCGAGGCGGTGGCTTGGTGACCGGGTCTTTGGGATGCTCAAGCGGCTTGGCCTTCTTGGCAGCGACCAAGGCTAGCTGCTGCTCACGGGTGACAACCTCGCACAAGATGAAACCAATAGAGCCAAAATGAATATCATATATTGGCATCAGATGATTGTGGAACGATTCAACTTTTTGACTTTTTCAAACATGGGAGTTGCCACTATATGATCCGATATTTGCTGCATTCTGTTTCTGGCCCGGGTGCGGGCCTGACCGCCTTGCTCCTGTTTCTCCAAGGCTTCCATATGCATGTCAAGATCCGTCGCGTCGGCGCTTTCCTCATAGACTTGGGTCTCCATTTGGTCAACAGGCTGTGGGGTCTCCGGCTTGTGCTGTCGGACCTCCGGTTTACCTGGGCAACAGCAGTCAACGCAATCTAAAGAAAATATGATTTTTTTTCTTTGTCTTTTTTTATCGAAACCATTACAAGATTGAAAAGTTGGCTTTCCAAGCAAAGTTGCCATCAGGTTTCGGGTGGGCAACGGCTGTACCCTTCCTCATGTGGAAAACCCGTATGGTCAGAAAATAAAATATGGGTTAGTGACGTGGTTTTGGTTCGCGCTGGCTGGGGACACCAAAAAAACAGCATATAGTACCACTTAAAGCATTTTAAGGCTGGTCTCGTTATGGCGTCCTTTTTTTTCAACACCATGTTGATAAGGACACTCCACTGCTTCTTTTCATTCTGCGGTGTAATCTCTGGTGCGCCCCCAACGGAAGGAGACGAAGGGAGCGGAGATTTGGAGTCGGTGGCTGCAGTTTTGGACTCAGCCTCCAGCCGCGCCGCTTCCACAGCCTTCCACTGGGAATCATACTGGACATCCTGGTAGGGATCCTTTGGCGAAGCATCCTGTGAATCTTCAATTTCGACGGCTTCTGCCATGTGCATGTCCTGCTGGGCCAAGGCCCGCAACTCGTCCAAAGCCTCCTTTTCTTGGGCTTGGCGCTCAGAGTAGCTGCGAGTCAAAACATGTCGGATGCTGTAATCACTAGATTCGGCAATGGGATCGTCTTCACAATCTTCGTTGGCAGTTATGAAAGGTGAGCGCCCTGCCTAGACATGCAAAGCACCAACAATAATAGTCATATAAGCCTAGGATGGTTCCCAGTTTTGCTTAAAATCCAATAACTTCAAATTGCTTGTGCAAAACTTGAATCGAGTCTCAGAATAAGCAGTGGAAGAGGCAATTGCCAAGTCAAGCACCAACGTTTTGACAAGTTCGTCCTAGGTTGGGCCGAAAGGTGAAACCTCCAGTGAAGCATCATAAAGCATACATGGTGTTGAACATCATTGAAATATATAGAACGAAAACCAACATATATGCGCTAAGAGTCCCTGGGCATTTCCCATCTTGACCACTTCCGTTTGATAGCCCCAAGCATCCGCTTCACAAAGCCGGCAGACCCATGAATAACACCAACAGCATGCTCTGATTTGACATTGATTTTCTGGTCCTCGTAGAATTTCAAAATAGGTTCCTTAAGATAATCGATGTGCTTGGTTACAATCACCCCGCTTTTAGCCATACACTTCGTGTAACCCCGAAGAACTGAAAAGTTGTGGCGGATGTTGTCAAGTGAAGGTGGTATCACGCCTTTCCCATTCACATCAGATATGAGCAATTTCTTAGCCTTAGCAAGGGCTACCAAGTCAGCATCGGATTTCCAAGCGGTCTCGCAAAAAGGTGAGAAGGAAAAATCATCAGGATCCCCATCCATGGCAGCACCGGCTATCTAGACCCCGGGCATGAGCCTAATTGCCAAGTCATCATGCGAGCTAACTGGTGTGATGTATCCAACAAACCCAATCCCCACAGCAGCCAGATGGCGCACAAAGCCGAATTGTCGCACCAAGGCCGTTGGAAGAAACCTGCCATGCCGAAAGCTTTGGCTGGCATTGAAGAAAAAATGGGAACAGTGAAGAGGGAGGTGAGAGGTTATCCATTTAAGCAAGTCAGCGGCACATATATAGGTGACGTGGTCCGAAGCACCGCTCCATTGCTGAATCGGTCAACTCTGAAAATCTGGAAAGGATCTTAAAATTTGATCGATCTGAATCTTGTTCTAGTTACACGTGATTTGTCGTTTTGATTTCCGATGCATTTTTGTTAATATTTCATCCTGAATTGGTGCCTCTCTGAGCATCCTGATCTGAACCTGGCACAAGCAGTGGCAAACAGCCAAGTTGAAGCATGGACCATGAAGGTACCTCAGAAGCGGTCGTTTCGAGAGGAAACGGTCGTTTGTGAAACAACCACTTGTTTCTAGTCGTTGAGGTTTGCAGGTATATCATAAATTTTATGAAAAGTTTATGATTTTTTATGAAAATTTTATGATTTTTTATGATTTTTTTATGAAAAATTTATGATATTTTTATGATTTTTTATGATTTTTTTGAGGGCGGTGCGGGCAGAAAAAATCATTAAAAAAATCATAAAATGAGTCATAAAAAATCATTTAAAAAAAATATAATTTTTTCATACAATCAAAAACCCGATTTTCCAATTCATAAATCCAAATCATAAAAAAATCTTTAAAAAAAAATCATAAAAAAAATAAATTGAAATTTGATTTTTTACGCTTTCCCCCAACTCTCAAAGTTAGATTCCCAGATCCAAGATCCATGGACTCACTGTAGAGCACAAAAATCTAGGTGACCAGTGTTCAAAACCCCAAATACTTCCAGTGGTTGGATAGGGATTCCCAGTTCATTCATATGATCATCCCAAAGAAATAAAAGATGATATAATTGGTTAAGAAAATATTATATAGTAATATAGTCATATACCCCAGTAATTAATCATCAACCACCCACTTCATCAGTTCTCAACTACACCACCATATGAAGATGAAGCAACTGCTTCAAACTACCTTTCAACGCAAAAGACATGTAAAAAGCTCCATGATTTTCCCAACGGAAAATTCCCAGGCTTTTCTCATGGCTTTTCTCCATGTTTTGCCCAGAAAATCCCAGGAACTGACTGCTCCGCGGCGATTCGGCCATCTCCTCCCGCTCCGGGCCGCCGGCCACGGCGGCCCGGGGCCGCTGCACTGGGCCGCTCTCCGGCGCCGGGGATCCGGAAACGTCGGCCTCGACGTCGACGTAGCCGCGGCGCAGGGCAGCGAAGTAGTGCCGCCCCGCGCTGAAACCCAGGAGGAAACCGCAGTTCGCCGTGACATCCTGGAGATATCTGGAGATTTGTAGCGTTTTTCTTCGATTTTGATGATTTTTTTTGTGTTTTTTTTTCGGGGGGGATGATGTTTGGATCCGAAAAAGGGGGGGAGAACTTCTTTTTTAAGGAGACCAAGAGAGATAAGAGGGATGTAGATTTTGGTGCTGTTTACCCGTTTACGCGTCATCGCCCAAAGAATACAACTTCAAAAGATCTAGAAAGATCTAAAAAGTGGATGGCTATACAATCCAGCGTCCAACAAGAAGATGATCCAACTGATGAAAGGCCCACTGCAAATGTTCTGCTCCTTTTCATCAATATGAGATCGAAATTTGATGAAGCTCCTCACAGTGCCTAAACAAGCACGTCCCAGAGCCACCAGCAAAAGCGTGAGTCTTCGACGTTGTTTCACGCCATCAGACTCATTCGAGGGAAGAAGCCAGAGCTCTTGACTCAAACGACTGAAGACCATGTTGGGCCAATTCCCATTGGCACGGTCAAAGAGTTTGTGTTTTTGCAGGTAGGAGGAGGTAAAACAAAGCACCACCAAGATACATCGAAGGAACTTCTGGAAGTTCCACACCACCTGTAGCAGCGTTTGGAAGGAATAGCGCCATGGACTCTTAGTGGGGGATGCCGACTATAAATTATATATATTATATATATATATTGTATATATATATATTATATATATTATATATAGTATATATATATATATTATATATATAGTATATATATATATAAGAACTTTAGTGAACCGGGGAGGTTTAGTGAACCGGGGAGTTTGAAGAAAAGGAAACTATGATGGGTGATCGGTATAAGGCTATCTCGCAGAAATGGGAGATGGATTACGACGGATGTAGGTTCTTCATGGATTATGATGGGTATAAGTTAAAGGCTCTTCACCAGAAAAAAAGCTTACAGGGGCAGCAATGTTGCAGTCAGCAAACAAAATAAATGCCAGTCTCAGTGCTACTGGCATTTGACAAAATATTTTTTTTTTAAAGGATTCGCAGAAAATCTAGTCTAATCCAATAAAACGAGTGAATAAAAACAATATTTCCTCTTAAACACAAAGGTACCACATCTTTACTCAGCCGGTTGCCATCCCAAAATACTTTCCACTGGGACAGTTTATCAAGTGTTGCCACTGACCAAGACATTCCTCGCTACGAAGAATAGAATGAATCACATTCAATTCAAAATTGAATTTAGATTTTCTATGTTTACCCTAAGAAGAATAACTCTTTAAACTACATAAAATAATCAAGAGGTAAAATGTCAGAATATATATCAATTGGTGGTGGGTGGTTGTACTCCACATTAAAATTTAAGAAACAACATGTCAGAATATATGTAAGATTTTTGTGTCAGAGAAAAGGTCAGAATATATGTTAGTTGGTCTTACTAAATTAGTGATCTCCTAGAAATTAATTAAAACCCTTGTCAATGGGCCCGCGCGCGCACCACAGTAAGCCTGTTTCGGGGTACTTAGGGGGGCGCGGGCCCAAGGAAAACTGTTAAAAGTCTAGGCATTGGCTGAGTAAGTGGTAATCTGCGTTCAAATTTAAGAGACAACATGACAGAATATTTGTCATGTTTTTTGTGTCAGAAAAAATACTTGAATATATATTAGTTGGTGGGGGTCATCCAAAATAAAATATAAAGATATGCTAATAGAAATTCAAAAAATCAATGAGAAAAAATACATAAGAATAGTTTTTGAATAATATTCCAAAACCTCACGGGAAGGCTTCTACCTAAGCATGATGGAGGGTGTGCCCTAACATGATTCATGCTTAGGTGTTCTGAGAACACCTAAGCATGAGCAATCTTCAGGCTCCAGCCAGGGTACTCTGACCCTGGTCCCCCAATGGCAGGCATAGAGTACCCAGGCTGGAGCCTGAAGATTGCTCATGCTTAGGTGTTCTCAGAACACCTAAGCATGAATCATGTTAGGGCACACCCTCCATCATGCTTAGGTAGAAGCCTTCCCGTGAGGTTTTGGAATATTATTCAAAAACTATTCTTATGTATTTTTTTCTCATTGTTTTTTTGAATTTCTATTAGCATATCTTTATATTTTATTTTGGATGACCCCCACCAACTAATATATATTCAAGTATTTTTTTCTGACGCAAAAAGCTGACATATATTCTGTCATGTTGTCTCTTAAATTTGAATTCAGATTACCACCACTTATTCAGCCAATGCCTAGACTTTTAACTGTTTTCCTTGGGTCCGCACCCCCCTAAGTACCCCGAAACAAGCTTACTGTGGTGCGCGCGGACCCATTGACAAGGGTTTTAATTAATTTCTAGGAGATCACTAATTTAGTAAGACCAACTAACATATATTCTGACCTTTTCTCTGACACAAAAATCTTACATATATTCTGACATGTTGTTTCTTAAATTTTAATGTGGAGTACCACCACCCACCACCAATTGATATATATTCTGACATGTTACCTCTTGATTATTTTATGTAGTTTAAAGAGTTATTCTTCTTAGGGTAAACATAGAAAATCTAAATTCAAATTTGAATTGAATGTGATTCATTCTATTCTTCGTAGCGAGGAATGTCTTGGTCAGTGGCAACACTTGATAAACTGTCCCAGTGGAAAGTATTTTGGGATGGCAACTGGCTGAGTAAAGATGTGGTACCTTTGTGTTTAAGAGGAAATCTTGTTTTTACTCAAACTTTTTATTGGATTAAACTAGATTTTCTGCGAATCCTTTAAAAAAAATATTTTGTCAAATGCCAGTAGCAGTGAGACTGGCATTTATTTTGTTTCCTGACTGCAACATTGCTGCCCCTGTAAGCTTTTTTCTGGTAAGGAGCCTTTAACTTGTACCCATCATAATCCATGAAGAACCTACATCCGTCGTAATCCATCTCTCATTTCTGCTTGATATCCTTATACCGATCACCCATCATAGTCTCCTTTTGTTCAAACTCCCCGGTTCACTAAACCTCCCCGGTTCACTAAAGTTCTTTTATAGTATTATAGTATTCTGTAATGATTATGACTAGCAGTCACTGGCAAACTGTTGCTATGGTAATGCAATGTTATTCAACTGCGCCGAGGGAACTGTGGGATGAAACGCCCTGAACTGCCCAGGGCGTTTCATGGTTGACTTTCGTCGTGCTGAAGAGCTTTCAACATATTCTAGACATCCATGAACCAGGTCGGTTGGTCAAACAAATAGGGAAATTATACTACAAATTATAGCAATTTTAGTCGGGAAGTTGATGATAAACCAACAGACTCGAGGCCTACCAAGTAACTTTCAACGTATTTCAACGTACTTCAACAGATTCAAAATCCATCCACCATCGTGCACCTGTTCAGCCGGCAGAATGCCACTCTTCACCTGTTCCTCTGATGTGTGGCCCAGCAGTGCCCCTCCCCGCACCAGTAACATGACCAGGACAGCAATCAACACCATCTCCACCACTGGAAGTGGCAGCAAACGCTTCTCCTCGGGATCCTCTGTTTCTGAGGAACCTGTACCATCTGTACCATCTGTACCATTCCCAGCATCATTCCCATCATCCCCAGCATTCGTACCATGGGTCTCCACGGTCTCCATGGTCTCCTCATCACTGGCCGCCTCGGCCTGGTCCTTCCCGTTGGAGCCCGACTGCCTGGAGTTCTTGCGGAGGAGGAGCAGCGCTGTGAGGGCCAGGGAGCTTCCGGCCACCAAGCCCCAACGAACCATCACCAAATATCACGAAATATCAGGAAATATGGGTTTGTCTGAAAATAGGGTATATTCCCAATTATAGCCATTTAATAGGGATAATGATCATTAACCATTGGGTTTAGGGGGACACTATTTTCAGACACACCCAAATATCACGAGAATCTCAGGCTTTCTGAGGCTTTCCTGATGCTTTCTTGATGGAATGATCCGGGAATTTGAGAATTGCTGATTCTTCGGCTGTGATCTGGTGATGTTCATCTGATCATCGGCTGGATATCAAAATATCTCAAAGCTATATATAGGCAATTTATGGCAATTTGCCATAGACTATAAGACCATGATGCCATATGATGCCATATGATGCCATGTGCATTACCAGTTGAGTGTGGTGTGCCAGACATGCAGGTCACAATAGGTCACATGTCATCTTCCAGTCTGGACCTGTTTCCTGGGATCCCTCGGCCCATGAGCCAAAACTCATGTCGAGCAGCAGGTGGTTTTTTCTGGGTCACCAAGCAGCGAATGGAGATCCGTTCATCATGTTTGCATCATTTTTGTGCAGCCAAGAACCAACTCGGGATGGCAGTCAAAGCACCAGGAAACCCAGCTGCTTTGACGAATGGAATCAGCTATCATTGGGCTGTCATCATCTATGATGACAATGAGAAAAAACTTTAGATGTTGCTGCTGGTTGCAGCTGGATGCAGGTGGTGTGTCTCTTTTCCGGCATCGGATTGCAATCGCGGCGACACGGTCGTGCTCTGTTCGACACTGAACCGCTGGGCAAACCGACGTGCCACACGTCACTGTGGTTCATGGTGGTTCCTTAAATGCTTCCAAGGTCTTTGCCCAGCTTGGGTCACACCCAAGTCATGAATTCCAATTCAGGAACTCAGGAACTCGCATCTGAACAAAGAGTTGTGATCAGCTGTGATCAGTTGTGATTAGCATATCTGACTTAGCATGTCCCTAGTTCTGAGGCAGAACAGCCCATGGAATACGAGTTCAACAGCTTCAGCCTCAGGAACCAAAAGTGAAGCCACCTGTCGCAGCTAGCATTTCTGCCATGGCAGTTTCTTGGTCAAATGGATGTTGCACTTTTGGGCACAACATTTGATCAACAACTATTATAAAGCAAGTTTCTGTGATACTCGATACTTAACTGAGAATAATCGTTGACACTCAATTACCTTCAAATGATGATATTGTTCAACATAACGAATGATCAATAAGTAAAATTTGTGTTCAACATCATGTTCAAATGATACATTCTACATCATCATACATCATTACATCATCATCAATATGCTTCCTATATGCTTCCTATATGGTTCCTATGATAATCTGCAGGCTTTTCAAGAGTCGCACCTGTGGGCACCTGGGCGCCGAATTGAAATTGCGGTCCGGAGGCCTCGGACCGATCAGATCAGACAGCAGATGTTGACCGGCTTTCGGCTGATGGATTTCATGATTTTACGGTGTAATGATGGGAAAAAATGATGGTTTAATGAAAAAAATGATGGATATTGTGTATTAACTATGGGTTTGATGATGGTTTGATGATGGATTTGATGATGCGTTGAAATGGATTCACTTGTAATTAACCATCCAACTGGGAGCTTGTGGCGGTTTATGGCAGTGGCTTTACGACTGGCAGAACAGAAACACAAGAACAGTTGAACATTTTATACCAGAAACATCCCGGCGGGTTGTTTATCGAACCCGCGTTTTCAGCGTTTGCAGTGTTCGTCATTGATTTCATACCACAAATCACAGTGGTTTTGCATCTCTCGCAAAGTTCAATTTCCTTAAAAAGCACGCGCGTACTTTTCACTGGATATGTAAAAAACCTCAGCGGCACTCTCTTTTTTTCTGCGCTAAGTGTTCTTCACAATTTCTGCAGTGAGCTTGGAGAGGTTTTTGTGGGAACTGTTTTCCCATCTCCACTGCCAAGCGCGAACATGCGTCCAAATCTTGCCATTGAGCAAGACTAACGTAGACTAACGTAGCATCATATATGTGAGGAAGTGCAAGACGACATACAGTAGCGTTGCATCATGCATGTGAGGAAGTGCAAGAAGACGTACAGCAGCGTAGCATCATGTATGTCAGGCAGTGCAAATGAACGTTATTACCCCACCCCAACCCACCCCACCCCGTTAACCCCATGAAAGACATAGAAACATGCAAAACGCTGGTTCGATTTTCAACCCGTAGGCAGAAACATCTACAGAAACAGACTTAGGTGCTCTAACCATCTGCAACCAACAATCATTCCAAAGGTGCTGATACTCAAACAGTTTCCATCAACAAATGAATTCAATTCACAAGCCAGTGATGTCTTAAGCCAGCTACATCTTCACCGATGTCTGCATCATCGTCCTGCCAGACGTCCCAGGGCTGGAAAGCCCCAAAAAACGGGTACCACGAGGGGAATTTCCGTCCACTTCTACCATTAAACATAATTAAACCATCCAAATTCCAATGGTTTATCATCCAACCCAAAAAATAGATTGAATTGGTTCAATTTTTTGAACAAAGCCAAATGACAACCATCGATAAAACGAGGCTCGATTTCATTGTGAGATGATGGGATGTTCTCAATAGGCCAAGCTTTCATCAAATCGGCGAACATCTCACAGCCTCCAGGGGAAAATACTTCTCAAGGATTTTCATGGCTTTCTGGTACCTGGACACCAGAGCGGCGGCTTGTGCTGCTCTTTTTCAGAGGTCTGGACGCTCCAAAGAAAATGGTAAAAGGGGATGCTGGACAGTAGGATATGCTTTTATGTCGCCCTTTATGATTTTGTGTTGGATATGTTCGATCTTTCATTCTTGCTTTTGATGTTGTTGTTCTTCTGGCTTCACTGGGTTCTGGGCAGGTTTTTTGGTGCTAACTGTCATTCTGGTTGTTTGTCCATGAGGTCGGCAATTGACTAGTTCACACATGTTCACAATGGCAAAAAAAAACAACCAACATTCATAGTAAGCAACTTCCTAATTAACCTACTCTCCGCAGCTTCACCCTCCTTTTACCCATGTTGGTTGTTTTTGTTTATTTTCTGGGGTGATGCATCCGCATCCTGCATCCCAGATTTGGCGCGTATTGCAAGCGTATTTTGGCGCACACTTCCTCATTGGGATCCTCTTGTAATGCTTCAATCTTGGGCAATCCATCCGCCTCGGGAAGATCAAAAAATGGCATCTTCATCGATCGATCGATTTTGATGCATGGATTAAGGGCCTAGAAAAGAACGATGGAAAGACCCACTGCAACTGGATATAACTATACTATAACTGGATATAACTGGATCTATATATATATAAGTGGATATAAGTGGATCTATGTATAAGTGGATATAAGTGGATCTATATATAACTGGATATAACTGGATCTCAGTCCCGAACAGTTTCGATCTTGCTTCCGAAGGGGTTATCTTGGAGACCCAATTCTTGCTGCTTGTCCTTGCCAACCTGCCACTGCAATGGCTTGCCGGAGACATCCGCATCGCCATCGATGGGATCCATTGAAAAAAATCCACATCCCATGGCTTAAAGCCTATGATTTGCTCCATGAAAATTGCCATGAATTGGCTGGGACATCCATTTTTGATGTCTGGACCTTTTCCATTTTTCATAACCAATTTTAGTTGTATCCGATTCTTTCTGATTCCTTGATCCCCGACTAACAATTTTACTTTTGGGACATATGCTAGACTCCTGGTAGGCCGAGAAAAAACAACAACATCTAAGTGTATGGCTACTATCCATCCAGCAATACAAACCGATCTTAAATACTTCGAACATCTTGGGATAAGATGCTCGTAGAATCTCCAAACATTCAAGGCATGGTGAGATGGTATAATTCTAACCCCATCGCATCCCCAGTCTGTAACCTTACTATAAAGCCTCTATAAACCAGCTGAGCCATAGCCATCAAAATCGAGGTTTTGCAGACCTCATGACCTCATCAAAAGCCCCGGTCCCAGTGCGCCTTCAAGATGTTTTCCAAGGCCTCTAAGGCCACCCCGATGATCTTGGCGTCAGAGACGGCCAGCAGATCCACCAAGGGTTTCACACAACCCATCTCCACCAGATATTCCACCTCTGGAGATCACACGGCCCGGCTTCGTTGATCTTGAAAAATCTGGGGATTTGATGTTTTTGTTGGATGAGGTGGAAAACCATGGGGATTTTCGAGTGACATGCGATCTTTTTGGCTTTCTGCGGGGGTGTCTAGGTTTAAGCCATGCTTTAGACCCATAATATGAATGGAACTAGGGGCTGGTTTGGCCAGGGATGTGTGAAATTTTGCTGTGCAGGATGGATGATCAGCTACCACCCTCATGAGAGGAATCCCCAATTCCGACAGTTGCATAGAAAATTACCAAAGCACATTCCTTAAATCAAACCACAACCCCCAAAGAATTGGATGCTTCATCCTCCAAAAAGTCACCACCCATCTTCTGCCTTTGGTGCTGGTGCAACTTTGGATATATTCTGATCATCAAACCAACTATCTGTTCAGATCTATGAATGGATGAAACTCACTGAGCAGATATCAATATAATTAAATTATATATATATATTGTAAAAAAAAAACATGATATGTAATGATAAACACATAATATGTAATGATATGTTCATACAACAAATGGTGTATATATATATGGTGAATCTACACATAGATCTCGCCTGTTGCGGAGATCCTCCACTGGTAGCGTTGCTGATCGCCCAAGCAGCCTGGTGACACGGCGGTATATAGTTATGGTACCAAGCATAGAGAAAACCCATATAGGTTTAGAATGTTGGTATAACTATATGTAACTATATTCAATACCTATTCAACCTATTCTGCTGATTTGTTATGGTACCCAATCATTTCATAGTTCATAGGTATGGTTTGAGACTTATTCTGAAAATAATTCTAATGGAAAATAACTAGTATAACTATGAAACAATAAATTAACAGGACTATGTACAAGAGTTTAGGATTATATTTATATCATTGTCTTGTATGACTTGTTTAACATCAAATGACTCTCAAATGATCTGTCAAATATTCATGAAACATGGTGGATCTCTGTCAATTCCTGGGTCGCTTAGTGGAATTCAGCGCTCCTTTGGCAGGGGTGGATTCCGGCGCTCCTCTTTCTTGATGTCAAAATCGGCTGTCTGGAGTAAATGGATGACCTGATGGGGCGGTACCCCAGTTACTGGGCTGGGTCATCCTCCACTTCGGCACTGAAGTTGGCAACCTTCTAGCCAACATCCTATGATCCGACTTCGGAAATGTGTGTAATACATAATAACAATAATAATAATAACAATAATAATAATAACAATATATATATATATTATATTGTATCATTGTCATTATTGCTATTATTATAAATATAAGTGTCTAAAAGTAACAAGAATGCACGCGCACACAGAGACATACAAACACATATGTACGTACATACGTTTTGCATCCCCTCATCCAAGATATCCAAGTCACAGGAGGCAGCAAGCCATTGTTGATGACCTCGCGGAATGTTCAAAAAGTTGTGTAACTTAACAAGATTGGAGATTTTTAATTGCTAAAAGATTAGTGGCATTCCTTTGCTACCCTAAAACATATATTGATTGCTCATACAGTATACACAAAAATTGGTATCAGAAAACCCAAAAGAAAATAAAAAAAATACACATCATTAAATCATTGATTGTCAAAAATGGTTCTGTTGAAAATGAAGCCATGTTCATCGTGCTTTTCATCGCCTCCTGAATTTGTTCGCGATTTCCTGCAGTGATATTGGAGATAGTCCAGCAGCTTTCCTTCCGGATCGCCTGCCGTGGCACGGCAGGCATGCCGTGTCTGAACAAAAAAGGGAACAATAAACACACATTATGAAATGGATAATCAAATATAATCAATAAAAACAAGTACATTCTGGAAGTTTATGGATAGTGTTTATGTAATTTATGAATATAACATAATATAACACACATTAATTATCATCATTCTCCCGTTTGTTTCATCTACGTATATGGAGTTTCATGGCTATTTGGATCTATTAGGATGATCATCATCCACTGATTTTTTTCCGGACCCAAATTTCAAAAATCGAACCCGGCTACACCAAAAAGTGCTCCAGAAGTTTCTCACACCCAAATGATTTTCCCTCGATTTTCCCATCGATTTTAGGGCTTTCCCATCCCATAGGATCCATGTATGGTATATATGCTAACATTGGGGGTATATTGATGGGATCCATGTTACCATATATAGCAGCACCATGGATCCTATGGGCATGGGTTTTCCCATGGGATCCCGAGCCTTTTTGGCATGGGACAGGAGCTTCAACAGCGATGGCAAGGCGCCACTGTGCAGAATCACCTGGCCGGGAAGGGGCGTCGCACCCGTTTTAGGTCTGCCAATGTCTGCCATGGTGTCATGAAGCAGGGAAAAACCATGGAAAAACATATGAAAATATGGTGAATCCATCGTAAAATGGCAATCTTGAAGGCTATGAGTTTCTCTTATTTCAAACGATGAAAGAACCTCTACATGTGGAAACATCCCGTTCTTCTCAGAGCCTTTTTGGGAAGAACATCACAAATCCATTCACCTCAAAATCCGGAATGCATATCCAGAACGCCCAAACATCCCAAACTCCATAGCTGCCTGCGTCTGGTTGTCATCACCCGTGACGATGTTTCCCACTGCTCGCAGTGCGGGGGTTTGTACCAAGGGTGAAGTGTGTAGCCTCAGTTACCAAAATCTTAGGATTGAAACATCACTACCAACTGTAACCACCAAAAAAGAGTAGGGCAGGGAATTCCCACAAATTCCAAACCAACCTCCTATTTTTGCTCAAAAGAGTTGTCTCTTCAAGGAACATCTCCCAAAACAATGCCATTTCAGACATCAAAAACTTCTGAGTTCCAAACAAAAGCTCCACTAGGCGTCGGCAAACCCCGGCCTAATTTCAGGGATCACCAAAGAGGTGTCGACGTTTGCAGCTTTACCACAACCAATCATTACCATCAGATATCTTGATACCCACCAAAATGCTCAAAAATCTGAACGAACTGCCAGTTTAACGGGCTAGGTGTCACATGTCACATGCGATCACGTGTTATCAAAAAGGTTCTAAAATGTTATTAATGTTCATAATTTACATATATAATACATGTATATGTATATATATATATATACTATATACATATTATATATATACTATATACATATTATATATATATGTGTACATATGTTGATAACAGTTGATAACATGTTATAACCAGAACATCCAGTTGCAGCGCTCCTCCCAGCCTGGATCACTGCAGTGATCCTCTCATTGGGCCCATCCGACAGGTAGGACAGGGCCCAACAGGCGTCGGTCAGAACCTGGGCGGATGGACGGTGCAGTTTCCAAGTGGAAAATGGTTGGTTATTACCACTATATAGGATTAGTTGTATGATTAGCTCATGTGATTAGAATATATTAGAATCCATGTGCCAACTAGAAAATGATGATATAATGGATTTGTGTAATGATTCTTAATGGATGCAACTGGTTATATTTTTTGCATATGGATTCCAACATGTTAGGCAGTATTACTCTAATCATCAAGCAACCTTGGCAACCTTGCACCTGATCAGGTCGACATGGTCGACATGGTGGACATGGTCCTATTAAATCCACTGGTTGATCACCATTTGCCCCCAAAACTGGCCTCGCAATCGGCTGAGTAGATCAGGTTCGCCAATGTGCCCAGGGCGGGTGAGACCTGTGCAGGGGGAATCTGAGGTTTTTTCATTTTGGATTTTTGGATATGTTTGTTTTGAATATGTTTGGATTATTTTTTGGGGATAAATTTCTTTGGAAGTTTTTGTTGGCTGATGTTTTCTTGTTTTTTTTTGCAGATCAACGATTTAATGTAAATGAGGGAAGGGATTACCAAGAATGCTTGCTCGAAATGGAACATTCTCCATGTCGGATGACCTGGGAAGACCGTCTTGGATGAAAACATAGCGACATGACAAGTTTGGTTCTGTTGAATGATAAAAACAAGATGTATCAAACAGAACCAAAGATGAATCCGAAACTCATCTTGAAAAAACATGATTCACTATGAATCCTTGAAACTTGTTGAAATTGCATCCCAAGAATCTCCGATTTTGAACATCCCCTATTATTGCCTGTAAATCTCCATTGTATCTCATTAGACACCCATTAAATCACCATTAAACCACCATCGAGTTCCTATGAAAATCCCCATTCAGTCTCATTATATCACTATCTAAATCCCATGAAATCACCATTAAACCACGATGAACCTCCTCTCGGCGTCCCGACCCATTCGAAGGGCGGGGGTGGCTTGCCACGACAAAGGTTGGATAAAGTCCAGGTGGCGTTGCGAAGCATGGAGGTCTTTTCAGAACTCAGCTAATGTCGCGGTGAAAACCCCCAAGGGTTCCCTCTGGTTTTTGAAAGTAGCTATGGAAATAACCCATTTATTAAATATATGATTTACCAAATTGTGATTTTCTGTGGCTATGTTAAATTACCTGAGGGTATTTCGAAAACATGGAGTACATATATAATATATATAATAATGACAATAATAATAATATGTATGTATGTATGTATGTATGTATGTATGTATGTATGTATGTATGTATGTATGTATGTATGTATGTATGTATGTATGTATGTATGTATGTATGTATGTATGTATCATTCACTGCTATGTTATATATATATAGCTCAAATAACTGGGATGGTTACTAGAAATGACCAACCATAGGTCCACGGGTGTCCAAATTTTGAGTCATACGGACTACGGACTACAGGTAATGAATTTTCTTGTAATCTATGTACAGTAATTCAATGTAATTCAATCATGTTTGGGAACCAGAAACTGGCCGTTCTGAAAATTTCTGCATCGCTGAGCTTGCCACTCTCTCAAAACTGTCATCACAGGGTGTAAACCTGGCTCACGTCATTGGTGAAATATGACTTGTACCAAAATCATCAAAAATCACTGCAGATATCCGCTGAACAAAATCAAGGAAAATGGGTTGTAATACGTTGGAATCTCACATGGACACACGTGGAAGATTCACAGTGCCTATCATCCGAGCTTCGCCGGGTCAAGCCATTTTGCTCCAAACTTGGACGTTTAAGATCTTATATAGTTGATGCTAATTCCATTGAACTTGCACTAAAGCCTGGGTAAATCACCATATAAAATCACCATCAAAATTATATCATCACATAATCACCGTATAGTCACATGAAGTCACCATTAAGTCATTCAAAGATCACCAAATTCTTCCATGGGATCATTTGATGCTTACCTCCACTCTGCAGAACCAGGTCTCTGAAGTTGGGAGAGTCGCCAGCGATGTTCCCTAGCGCCTGCCGTGTCGTGTTTTTTTTGGGTGATGTTCGGTGGATAGATAGAGGTTATGGAAGGCCAGCTTTCTGCAGAATTTTCGATACATTGGGTTGTAACTTGAGAGAGCTTGAGATATCTTGAGGTGGGGTTTGTCAGAAAGTAATACACACCACTGAACCCCCATGGCTTCTCACCAGTTTCCCCATCAAATTGTCCATTCTTGTGTATCCCTTGGGGACAAACCTAGCCTTGTTCATCCAGAAAAAAAAACATCTTTCCGTCATGGGAATGATACTCTTGACACTGCTCTGACACATTGGCAGAGATGACCGGCAACAATGGAGACAACAAATGTGCTATATATGTAAATCAATGTAAATCATATCACCAACAAGTGGACATAATATGACATAATATGACATAATAGTCACTACATGTCACTACCATGTTTATTGTGGCTGAAAAAACCACCTACATGAAGAATGGAACCACTGACCCACCAGGTTTTCGAGAAACTTGGGATGTAAGGAAAATCAATCAGAAAACGGTGATTCATCAGCGAAAGCTTAGCACAAACCAACTATTCCATACTATTCCCACTTATGTCCCCCAGATACATTTCATGAAAATCAGTACCCCCAAAAGGCTTTCCCGCTGTCCTATAATATGGCCTTAATAGATATAGGTAGATATAGATAGGGGGTATCAGCCCTTCAGCAAAACGCCGGCAGTGCCCAAACAGCTTGCTCTCGGACATCGTCGTTGGGAGACTGCCATGGGATTTCGATGGATTTCCGGGACTTGGAATCTGATCATCTGATACTCTGAATATCTCTGAAGATGTCCAACCAGAAAGTTGAAGATCTGAAAAAATCTGTGGGACATTTTGTGACAAGGTGCTGGATCTATTCTGAGAATGCGATATAAGATATACACATTTTCTACACGCCATCAGTGTCTTCAAGTAGACTGCATGAAACCCTTCGCCTGCAAAAGCTGAACGAAGATCGGCAAAGCTCCCTGGGAAAACCGGCCAACATCTCAAAAAAAAAGATATGAATTTCGGGGGCAAACACTTCGGAGCACTGTTCTTGATCCAACATGATCTAACCATCCGACATCCAACAGACGTGGCTAAGCTTCAGAACATGCTCCACCACCACTCGAGTCTGATCGGCATTTCCCGAAGCAATGTTTGTCAGCACCTGTGGTCGCGTCCAAGACCCGAGACCAGCAACATTCGCAACGAAAACACATGGAGGGTTTCCGGTTTTGTCACGGGGGGGTACCTTAAATCATCCAAGTCATGGATGACCATGACTTTGAAACCAATGGATTTGGGGAATCACCATTTTACGAAACCACCAAATCTGTGGAAGTACCGAAGTAGACCGAAGTAGATCCAGATTTCCTGTTGCGCCACCTGAGTTCAAGTTCGGTATGCTTCAACTTACAGTGTTCTCGAGTGATCTCCTTTTCCAAGGGGCACCCAAGCGGCTTCAAACTGCAAATCTGGTCGGTTGATTTCCTTCAGAAACCTCGGTCATTTTCGGCTGGGGATGACATGTCCATGGCATGTCCCATGGCATGTTCCATGGCATGTCCAGTTCTCTGGGCGCTAGACTGAACGAAACGGGGCACCACACCAGCATTGATGACCTGGTGGTCCAACACATCAGCAGCCGATCTCAGGGATTCCACAAGTTCCACAAGGCCTGCCTCTGAAATGGGTGGATTTTGCTCGATGCTGAGCAGTTTTCGAAACTGCTGTGTGGCATTGAACTGTGCCTGGCACAGCATGGAACAGCAGCTCGTGTCAGCAAGGAACCTCTATTTTTATAACTTTATTTTATAACTTTATATTATAAATATTACCCATAGGATCCATGTATGGTATATATGCTAACATTTGGGGTATATTGATGGTAAATGTTACCATATATAGCAGCACCATGGATCCTATGGGTTATGGATTACTCAAGCTGCATTCTGCAGTGCCTGTGCGTCGTCCGACATCAAGGCTTGACTCAGACTGGGAATCTGCTCCACACAGCTGCCGGGCATTCCCATGCCTGGCATCGTCATGGCAAATCCATGGGAAATCCACGGAAAATCCTAGGAAAATTGGCACCAAAAATCCGCTGGAAGTGGACTGGATTTTCCATCATTTTTGAAATAGCAAAAAAACGAGTCCGCAATGAAAGTAGTAAAACATAGTCTCAATTGATAGCCCAAATAGTGGGTCAATCAATGGGAAAATAAAATGCATTTTTAGCAAATGATTTTCAGCAAATCCAAGTAATGATATGGTTATACGTACAGGCCATTGGATCAAACATTTAGTATTTTATGATTCATGATTCTCTAAAATTGTGAGCACAAAAATCACTGGTTGCTATGGATGATTATCCCAACGAAATATCACAATCGGGAAGGTTGTGAATTGTGTAAAAGTCTCTCCGGAGCATTGTTGATTCATATTTTTCGTTGCTGTTTGTCCTCCGAGATCCCAAAATATGGTATGTGGGGACCAGGAAGAACCATTGATATTTTGAGTTCATTTTGAGTCTGTTCCTGCTTTGTTTCCACATTTTCCACTTGTTCATGTCTCTCCCAACAGAACCACAAGTCCTCTTGGGAAACCTCTAAAGAGATGGATTTCCTGCTAACATGGTAATAAAATGTGGATACTCAAATCGATCTTGGAAGAAACTCATCTGTATCATTTTAGTACTCTGGTTACATTCATTACATTCATTCATGCCTACATTCATGCCAATTATATGTCATAAATGATACATTATGACATATGAAACTCTGGTTCCTTCCCATTTTTCCATCTTTTTGGAGGTTTACCATACCAGAAATGCCATCCTGATGCCATCCTGATGGCACCTGTCTGCATCTGCGTCATCGCCATGGGATCGGGTGAAAGTTGACCAGGCTGGCAGCGTCGCCAAGGGATTCCCAAGAAACTTCACAGGCTGAAGATAAAACAGAGATTGATTATGATTGATTTATAAATATTTATAAGTTCTACATAGTTCATCATAGTTCTACTATATCCTGTTCTTTTTGTTGGCTTTTGCCAAATGCAAAGGTCGTAAAATGCTGTACTTTATAAACCTTCCAAGATGGCCGGTGACCACTGGAGATCTTGGGTCCGGACTGGTGGCACATCGTTCACCATGCGTTTCTTCATCAAGGCCTGTGATCATCTCATGTCATCTGATGTCATCCCTCTGGTTATGTCAAAATAGCTATTGAAAATGACCATTTATAGCAGGTTTACCCATTAAAAATGGTGATTTTCCATAGTTATGTTAGAAATTACCAGAGGGTATTTGATTGTAGTTGTATCATGTTGTATCTCATCATCTCAATACTGATCATTGATAATCAGTTTGATGATGGTCATTCGAATCTCAACATTTTGCTGCTTGTCCAAGCTTTTTCTGAATCGAAAATTCGAATTTGCCGATTGATGACTCCATTGTTTACCGCACCATCGCACCATTAGATACCAATTTGATGTGATTTTCCATCCGACCTCATCGCGTGTGGCTTTTCTCAGCTGCACCGCGGCATCTTCGCGCTTTCGCCGCGCGTCATCTGCGTCCACGCCCTTTTTGAAGGCCTCCACCACTGGGGTGACCCAAAGGAAACGGAAACTGCGGATGGAGAAAATCCTCCAGCCAGTTGATGATGGATTCTCCATGTTTATCCCATGATTTCCACAGTTTCAGAATGATACACATGGTGCAAGATTTGTTCACAATATAATATCATATAATGGCACGTGACTCACATGACTGACATCATCCCAAGAAGCCCCGATCGCCGATGGCCCTTTTGTTGCCATCCCTTCGAGATGGTCGCCTTTTGTCGCTGGCTTAATCTGTCGCCAAAGCCGGACATCTTGAACAAAGTGTTGTTCAACCTTGGATCAAAGGTGCTGATGATGATGGTAGCGGTTTATTAATGGTTATTAATGCTTATTAATGGTTATTGATGGTTATTGATGGTTATTGATGATGATGATGATGATGATCATGATGATCATGATGATCATGATGATCATGATGATCATGATGATCATGATGATGACGATTTTTTTGGAGGAAACCTCAAACTTAATATCAAGACGACTTGTTGCAGAAACTCAAAACTGCAAAAAATGTCAACCGAGCCTCAGGCGGTGAAAATAACTGCAGTTCGAGAAATGAGCAATTTGAGCCAGAACCGAGTCACAGCGGTGAGCTCCAACCTGGGGATAGAGCCTCATTCACCCATAGCCGCCATAGCCGCCATAGCCGCCATGGCCATATTATATCATATTATAATATATTATATACACAAAATTGCTCAGTCAAGGAAAGACATGGATGTCATGACATGAAAGGATTGGTGACCTTTCACAACCAGTTTGATCCTCCACAGCACACAATCCTTTCATGTACAGCTCTATCATGTGCATCCTAAAGTAACTGTGAAGCAGTCATGAAGAATCCTTCCGTTTGGGTCAAAAAATAATTCAATGGCTCCTCATCCAACAAGAACCTTAAGTCAATGATTTCAAACTGCACCAGCAAAATGGGTAGTTCCCATTATATTCCCATTGCCTTGATTTCTGATCTGTCAGATCCGGGGCGGGCATCATTTTCACCTAGTTCCAGGCGGATTGCTGCATTATCTGCACCTGGGACAGAGAAACTACTCCGTGGATGACTGCATGGCCAAAATGAAAAGAACTCACTAGAAATTCTTCTGGAAGTATCAAAATGGATGTTTCTCAGCAAAAAATAAATATATATATATATTATGTCATATCGGGTCGTACAGCATGTTTTGAATCATCAGTTTGCATGGCAACACCCCCACCCCACCCCCAAAAGACGCATTTGTTGCGGCGCGTTTTGTCCCAGGGGCATTGCGACCGTGACACAGCACTCCCACCAAACCCCGCAGCACCTCAGATTTCGTGTGGTTGGCTGAGGTTGGCTGGGCATAAGGTATTTATACCATTGATCTTCACGTGAAAAATGGGGGAAAAATGGGGTTACCCGGCTTGGTTTTCGATCATATTCAAACCACCAGTGGGGAAAAAAACAAAAACACATCAACTAAGTTGGCATGAGCATTCAAGCTGAGACTGTGGCCAACGCACTACCCAGGCGCACCTGAAACGAAACTGCCAGGATGATCAGCAGTTGAAACTGATTGAAACACCTGGAGATATCTGGAGATATCTGGAGATGTGAAGCATAGGAAACATACTGCAGCATACGTGCTTGAAACATCTTGAAACGTGATGATCTCTGCATTTAGCATCTTCTAGCCACCAGTTTCTTGGCCATGGATGTCCATGGCATGGAATGACTCAAGGCATCAGCAAACTCTGCAATCATGGTTTGAACATCTGTTTCTCTGCAACTTGAGATCTTCCACAGAAGTTTGTTGTTCACTTCAATATCTTTGCTATCTTTGCTGTTCATCAGATCTTTGTTGGTCATGAGTCATGGTCCTCATGGTTTCTTTCCTCCATCAACTCAGTTTCCAACTGGGAGAAAGCCATCATCAAACTCCAGGGATAGCCTGAAATCTCCGATGATCCTCTATTTTTTGAAGCTGGGACTGGGACCATGGGACCAACATCTCCTGATTTGGATGGGATTTGGATGGATTTGGATCATCTTTGCAGCACTTCCAGATCATCAAAACGAAAGTTTGGAGGACTTTCATGGACTTTGACCTCAACTTCTAGAAATTCAACGAACAGCAAAACATAGCAAAACCATCCAAAATTTAGGTGATTCGAGACACTTTCAGCCGAAGGTACAGGGGCTTTGAGGTGGAGTCTAACGGGGCCTCACCTCAGAAGTTCTGTTTTCAGATTGGCAGCAGGGTGGAACGGGACACAGCTAAATGATAACTAAGAACATCCTGCATCTAAATCTATATAAATCTATCATAACAATATATAAATAAGATATCTAAATCATATTAGAATATATCAGAAGAGCATGCAAAACTATAAGGATCTATAAGGATCTAAAAGATCTAAAAGGCCATCAACTGCCGAGAAGACTATGATTGTTTTTGTTTGGTCTGGGTGCCAGTGAAGCCCAGTAGCTCAGAACAATACGACGCAGATCCTCCAAACAAAAGCCTTGCCTTTGGCGCGGACGCAAGTAGAAAAAACCGGGCACCACTGGACCCAAACCATGGCCGGAATTCATGTTGGCTCATGGATGTTGATAGATGTTGATGGGATGCTCACGGATGTTCACAGCATTTCAGGTTGTTGAAGTTCCCTTCTTCTCAACATTTCTCAGCAAACATTTCTTCCTATTAAGAATCGGCTATGAGTGCGGCTACAACTTAGCTCGAGACATTCCAAAGAACACGGCCGGGATCTAAGTCATAGAAACATATAGAAACTGCAACTGCTTCAACTGCACCCACGTTGTGTCAGTCATAGCTGTCATAACTGTCAACTCGCTACTCTGAACTGTGGCTGGGGCAGAGGAGTCGGGTTCCAAGACGTAGAGATACCTCGAAGTTGGTCACGTGAACGTCTCAGGTGGATGGTGTGATTTAAACATCAATTTACCCTGTATTTCATCGAAAAAAAAAACATCGCCATTTTGGGGTATCCTAACCGAAAGATTGCGATACTGCACCGTGTGTCTCAGTGTGTCTCAGTGTGGTGTTTGATGATTAAAGCACCGGGGCCATCATTCCATTGTGCAGAATTCTGCGGATGTGTTTTGTGTGGAAATCCGGTTCTTGGAAACATCTGGTTGATGGAAACAGAAAAACCATTTCTTGGCGAAGAAAACCGGGAAAACATCTCCAGTTGCTGCAAATCCCACTAGCAAAGCCGGTCTTCCACGATCATCATGAAACATGAGCTCACATCGATCATGCTGCAGGTTTGCCTCACAAAAGTGCTAGCAATATTCTACGGCCCGTTGCCAGTTTGGAACAGATTCACCAGTCGATCAAAACTCCCAACAACCACAGGCATCTGAGTCTCAGAACGGCGAAGAACTTGAGTCTAAACCTCAAAGCACATCAACTGGTGCAGAGCTGCGGTCCTTCAATCTTGAGTACCCCCGTATGAGTCCTCCAAAACAAGTATGATAAGTATGCAATACAATTATCTGTAGCAGCACTAAATCAGGGTTTCTTTGGGGTTCCACTATTTAGTAATTAGGGGGAAGAAAGGATTACTTTAATATACTTAAATCATAAATCAAAATGTCAAATTGTACTGTTTCTTCTCCAACAAACCTGGAGGTTCCAAAAGGGACACTGCAGAAACTTCGCCACGTCATCACGTCATCACGTCATCCCGTGGCACCCAAACGACACACAGGTGGCCCCCACAGAGTTTTTTGGCACAGAAGGTGCCAGCAGAGGCAATGGCCACATAGGCCTGGGAGGAGTCAGAGTTTTTTTGAGCAAAACAAAATCAGTTGGATATCATAACTAGTGGGATATCCTGGGATATCCATGATATCCTCAAAAAATGATTGGGATATCACATGATATCACAATTGATGTTGTCGCAAGTGAACTTGGGTTGGGATCTTGGCAAATAGGAGAACATCTTCCCAACAAAAGTAAACAATCGGTGCGGATATCCACAAAATCAAGGTATAACGGTATAACCAAACTGGTGGATACCCCATGGTTTGAATAGTTGATGGTGAAAAGAAAAAGGTAATGTGGTAAACACAGTAATAAATGCAAACTTGTGAGTATTGTCTTCATTGATTAAATACAATATAATCGAAAATTGGGCAGTAATTGGGATACTGCACAGCTTTTTCAGGTCTTGACTCGGAAGGATTAGGATATGGCTTTGCCGGAAATATTGCAAAACCCTCTGAATCTGTTGAATCATCATGTTCTCCATGATTACAACTGACATTTTTGGAGAAATCATCATTTCTCAACCATTTTTGGTCGTGAGTCGTTTCCCACAGCTAAGACTTGGACTGGTAGACCTTCCTGTTCCAAAACCTCTTGGACCTGGCAGAAATCGCTGAAATCGATCTGTTGAATCGTGAATCACCACGAAATCATCCAACCATCCAAAATCCATCCAAAATCAAAACCCATCCAAAATCCATGCAAAATGGTTCCCAAATACAAAAAACATCATAAAACAACTCACCTTCCCCAGTGTTTTCCGTGATTTTGTGGAAAGTCATCATCGTGATTCTCTCCTCCTCCACCGTCGGCTGGCGAAAGATGGCGGGTACATCCTCATCCACGGGCTGTGCGCTTGGCTGAGGCACCTCAAGCAATGGCACGGATGATCGAATCATGTACCAACTAGAAAATATGGGATTTTAATATTATAACTTAATATAATGATATAGTGATATATAATTGATGTGAAATAAATTCGGACTAGACATTAACCAATTAGAATCAATTAGAACATGACCCACTATGACCCACTTCAAAAAGATAAAAAAATGCCCATGGCATCCCATGGCATCCCATGGCCCAACGCGTTGCCAGCCACGCCTCTGGCATCGCGTGTACCTCCGTGGCCTCCGTGGCTTCCGGCGCCGCGAAGCGCGCCTCGGGGACGAAGATGCTGTCCATGGTCTCAGCAAAGGCCTGTCACGGCTTTTCCAATGGTTTTTTGTTGGATTTTTTCCAGATCATTGAGCATCAAAATGCATCAAATATATTGAAGTTGATATCATTCAAATAATTCAAATTGCTTTCTATTGTTTTATTTGTTTTTCATTATCAAAGATTGAGGGAGTTCCCTATGTTTTTTTTCCCCCTCCACCAATTCCAGGTACAAGCGTCATTGTTGGAAAATGGTGAAAACCAAATATGGTTTTGCCATGGAAAATATGGAAAAACATGTGGAAACCCATGGTTTTCCTCCAGAGTTCCCAAGTTGGCCTGCCAGCTATGGGCTAAACCTTTGCTCGCACCGTTCAGCCGGGAATTTAGCCATGAATTGGCCATGGGCCTTGCCGCCGGAATTCACGACTTCACGACTGGACGATTGGTTCAAAAGCTACAGGAAAATCATATGAAACCATGGTGTTTTCTTGCAACAGTGACCACAGTGTAGGGCTTTCCTGCGATTTTTTCCTCAAACCAATCTCTTAGCCCGGAGATCGTTTTGATTCTGACAAAAATTTGGGCACAACAAGAAAATCCCAAAGCATATCGTGTGTGAATCTTATGAATGCCTCAGTGCACGCTCATCAATGCAATTGTATCATTCAAGAAGTCGCTTGCAAGGCTCAAGGCCTATTCATCTGTGGCAAGTCTTGAAAGACGTCAACTATGCAGGTGTTGTTCAGGCACCACCAACAATGTCTCAAGCACATCGCTTGTGAATCTTATGAATGCCTCAGTGCACGCTCATCAATGCAATTGCGTCATTCAAAAAGTCGCTTGCAAGGCTCAAGGCCTATTCATCCGCGGCAAGTCTTGAAAGACGTCAACCATGCAGGTGTTGTTCAGGCACCACCAACAATGTCTCAAGCACATCGCTTGTGAATCTTATGAATGCCTCAGTGCACGCTCATCAATGCAATTGCGTCATTCAAAAAGTCGCTTGCAAGGCTCAAGGCCTATTCATCCGCGGCAAGTCTTGAAAGACGTCAACCATGCAGGTGTTGTTCAGGCACCACCAACAATGTCTCAAGCACATCGCTTGTGAATCTTATGAATGCCTCAGTGCACGCTCATCAATGCAATTGCGTCATTCAAAAAGTCGCTTGCAAGGCTCAAGGCCTATTCATCCGCGGCAAGTCTTGCAAGACATCAAACATGCAAGTGTTGTTCAGGCACCACAACAAAGTCTCAAGCACATCGCTTGTGAATCTTATGAATGCCTCAGTGCACGCTCATCAATGCAATTGCGTCATTCAAAAAGTCGCTTGCAAGGCTCAAGGCTTATTCATCCGCGGCAAGTCTTGAAAGACGTCAACCATGCAGGTGTTGTTCAGGCACCACCAACAATGTTTCAAGCACATCGCTTGTGAATCTTATGAATGCCCCAGTGCACGCTCATCAATGCAATTGCGTCATTCAAAAAGTCGCTTGCAAGGCTCAAGGCCTATTCATCCGCGGCAAGTCTTGAAAGACGTCAACTATGCAGGTGTTGTTCAGGCACCACCAACAATGTCTCAAGCACATCGCTTGTGAATCTTATGATTGCCTCAGTGCACGCTCATCAATGCAATTGCGTCATTCAAAAAGTCGCTTGCAAGGCTCAAGGCCTATTCATCCGCGGCAAGTCTTGAAAGACGTCAACCATGCAGGTGTTGTTCAGGCACCACCAACAATGTTTCAAGCACATCGCTTGTGAATCTTATGAATGCCTCAGTGCACGCTCATCAATGCAATTGCGTCATTCAAGAAGTCGCTTGCAAGGCTCAAGGCCTATTCATCCGCGGCAAGTCTTGAAAGACGTCAACTATGCAGGTGTTGTTCAGGCACCACCAACAATGTCTCAAGCACATCGCTTGTGAATCAGTGCACGCTCATCAATGCAATTGCGTCATCAGTCGCTTGCACGCTTCATCAATGTCAAGACATTGCAGTCATCGCTCCTCAGTGCACGCTCAAATGCAATTGCGTCATTGTCAAGGCTCAAGGCCTATTCATCCGCGGCAAGTCTTGAAAGACGTCAACCATGCAGGTGTTGTTCAGGCACCACAAACAATGTTCAAGCACATCGCTTGTGAATCTTATGAATGCCCCAGTGCACGCTCATCAATGCAATTGCGTCATTCAAAAAGTCGCTTGCAAGGCTCAAGGCCTATTCATCCGCGGCAAGTCTTGAAAGACGTCAACTATGCAGGTGTTGTTCAGGCACCACCAACAATGTCTCAAGCACATCGCTTGTGAATCTTATGAATGCCTCAGTGCACGCTCATCAATGCAATTGCGTCATTCAAAAAGTCGCTTGCAAGGCTCAAGGCCTATTCATCCGCGGCAAGTCTTGAAAGACGTCAACCATGCAGGTGTTGTTCAGGCACCACCAACAATGTTTCAAGCACATCGTTTGTGAATCTTATGAATGCCTCAGTGCACGCTCATCAATGCAATTGCGTCATTCAAAAAGTCGCTTGCAAGGCTCAAGGCCTATTCATCCGCGGCAAGTCTTGAAAGACGTCAACCATGCAGGTGTTGTTCAGGCACCACCAACAATGTTTCAAGCACATCGCTTGTGAATCTTATGAATGCCCCAGTGCACGCTCATCAATGCAATTGCGTCATTCAAAAAGTCGCTTGCAAGGCTCAAGGCCTATTCATCCGCGGCAAGTCTTGAAAGACGTCAACTATGCAGGTGTTGTTCAGGCACCACCAACAATGTCTCAAGCACATCGCTTGTGAATCTTATGAATGCCTCAGTGCACGCTCATCAATGCAATTGCGTCATTCAAAAAGTCGCTTGCAAGGCTCAAGGCCTATTCATCCGCGGCAAGTCTTGAAAGACGTCAACCATGCAGGTGTTGTTCAGGCACCACCAACAATGTTTCAAGCACATCGCTTGTGAATCTTATGAATGCCTCAGTGCACGCTCATCAATGCAATTGCGTCATTCAAGAAGTCGCTTGCAAGGCTCAAGGCCTATTCATCCGCGGCAAGTCTTGAAAGACGTCAACTATGCAGGTGTTGTTCAGGCACCACCAACAATGTCTCAAGCATATCGCTTGTGAATCTTATGAATGCCTCAGTGCACGCTCATCAATGCAATTGCGTCATTCAAAAAGTCGCTTGCAAGGCTCAAGGCCTATTCATCCGCGGCAAGTCTTGCAAGACATCAAACATGCAAGTGTTGTTCAGGCACCACAACAAAGTCTCAAGCACATCGCTTGTGAATCTTATGAATGCCTCAGTGCACGCTCATCAATGCAATTGCGTCATTCAAAAAGTCGCTTGCAAGGCTCAAGGCTTATTCATCCGCGGCAAGTCTTGAAAGACGTCAACCATGCAGGTGTTGTTCAGGCACCACCAACAATGTTTCAAGCACATCGCTTGTGAATCTTATGAATGCCCCAGTGCACGCTCATCAATGCAATTGCGTCATTCAAAAAGTCGCTTGCAAGGCTCAAGGCCTATTCATCCGCGGCAAGTCTTGAAAGACGTCAACTATGCAGGTGTTGTTCAGGCACCACCAACAATGTCTCAAGCACATCGCTTGTGAATCTTATGAATGCCTCAGTGCACGCTCATCAATGCAATTGCGTCATTCAAAAAGTCGCTTGCAAGGCTCAAGGCCTATTCATCCGCGGCAAGTCTTGAAAGACGTCAACCATGCAGGTGTTGTTCAGGCACCACCAACAATGTTTCAAGCACATCGTTTGTGAATCTTATGAATGCCTCAGTGCACGCTCATCAATGCAATTGCGTCATTCAAAAAGTCGCTTGCAAGGCTCAAGGCCTATTCATCTGTGGCAATTCTTGCAAGACGTCAAACATGCAAGTTTTTCAGGCGGGATCGGATAATATCCTTCCATGTGCATGGACAATCATTATATATCATCATGAACCAGCCTCAAAGCTTCCTCTGGCTGAGGCTCACCTACCAAGATTCATGCGAGAAAAAGTCTCCAAAACCAACAACCATTTGGAAAAAACATCTAAAGATACAAAAATTTCCAGAAATGTTATTCTAATATAATCATCAATAGAGAATCAATGTCCAGAGATAATCTATTGATAATATATCAAATTTGATAATACCTGTTCCTTTCCATGTCCGAATCCATGCTTTGTCCCGCTGGATCACCGCACCTGGTGCACCAGCCTGTCCCGCAGCTCGGATCAGGAAATCATGGGATTTTCTTGGGGATTTTAGAGTTGCTTAACGGAATGTTCATGGGATAAATGAAGATTTAATGGGACATCGAAGGAAGTTTAGAAGTCAAGCTTCCGACAATATGGACAGATGAAAATCAGAGATGGGAAGAGTCAGAGAGAAGAGAAGAGTAGAAGAGAGAAGATCAGAGAAGAGAAAGAGTCAGAAGAAAGAAGATGCAGATGCGCGAAAAGGTAGGAAAGTCGCGAAACACTGTGTTTTTCCAATGATTTGTGGCTCCGGAGGGTCAAAAAGTAGGCTCGCTAAAGCGGCGGGTGCGGAGCCATCTGGCCAGATGAGAGATGAAAAATTGCACGCCATTGTGGCGTGAAGCACATTTCAAGTCAAAATGTACAAAACACACCAGCTTCGGACCACTTTTGGAAGTTGAGATGTCGAAAAAGTGCACGCCGTTGTGGCGCGAAGCACATTTTCAAGTCAAAATGTTAAAAACACCAGGTGTTCGGACCACTTTTGGAAGTTGCGATGTCGAAAAAGTGCACGCCGCTGTGGCGCGAAGCACATTTCGAAGTCAAAGTGTACAAAACACCACATGTTCGCGCCACTTTTGGACGTTCAGATGTCGTTTCGCGTGGCTGGCACAAGGAATTGTGCACTTTCTCAAAAGTGGGCAAAACGTGAGGGTTTTGTGGCATTTCCAAAAACGATGGCAGGCGTGGGACATTTGAAGAGGATCTGCAAAGATGTATTTTCCGTGGCAGGCGCAGCACAAGAGACATGTTCATCAGAGCTGTTGGGAGGTCCGAGTGCTGATTTCCTGAGAGGGGTTGCATTTTGGAGCCTCAGATCTTCAGGTTTGCTGAGATGATTTTGCGTGACAGGTGCAGCACTTCGTATGACCCTGGCATCACTTTTTCGTGGCAGGCACAGTACTTTAGACAGGTGGAATGGAAAAATCGCAAAAGGCATTGGCACGAGGCTGCCAGCTCTGCACTTAACTTTCCATTTTTGAAGGAAGTCTCGCAGAATTCTTTCGTTTTTGATGTTTTCAACTTCGAAACATGAGGAAGTCTCGCAGAATTGCTTCGTTTTTGATGTTGTCAATTTTGAAACATGAAGAAGTCTCGCAGAATATCTTGGTCTTCAAGGTTGCAGATAGACAGGTAGATAGACAGACAGACAGACAGAAAGAGAGAGAGAGAGAGATAGGTAGCTAGCTAGCTAGCTAGCTAGATAGATAGATAGATAGGTAAGTAGATGAAAGAGAGAGAGAGAGATAGATAGAGAGATAGATAGATAAGATAAGATAAGATAAGATAAGATAAGATAGCTAGCTAGCTAGCTAGCTAGATAGATAGATAGGTAATTAGATGAAAGAGAGAGAGATAGATAGAGAGATAGATTGATAAATAAATAAATAAATAGATAGATAGATAGATAGATACATAGATAGATCGGTACGTAGGTAGGTTGATAGTCAGAGAAAAAGAGAGAAAGAGAGGAGACCTCAACCACCTTTCGGTCCATCAGTGGGTTCGCTCTGCCATCTGTGATTCACAACAACCAACCTCTCCTATAGGTTTCCTATTTTTGAAGCTTCCGCCACCGCTTTGTGCGGTACTACTGGTAAATCAACTGATATCCGCCGACCCCGGCCGACGCAAGGGGGAGCGCGTAAGGGAAGAAGATGGAAATTAGGTGGTGTTTTGCTGTTTCGGAAGCGTTTCGAAACAGTAGGCCCAGCCATAATATTGTTTAGGCGATTCTGGGGGATTCGGCCGAAACAGCTGGCCCAGCTACCGGAGATTCTGGGGGATTCGGCTGAAACAGTTGGCCCAGCTAGGATTCTCGAAGTAGGATCTAAACTAGGATCTAGATCTAGATCTAGGATTCTCTAGGATTTCAGCAGGGACGTTAGGCAGGTTTCTGTAATATTGTTTAGGCGATTCTAGGGATTCGGCCGAAACAGCTGGCCTAGCTACCGGAGATTCTGAGGGATTCGGCTGAAACGGCTGGCCCAGCTAGGATTCTCGAACTAGGACCAAAACTAGGATCTGGATCTAGATCTAGGATCTGGATCTAGATCTAGGATTCTCTAGGATTTCAGAAGGGACGTTAGGTAGTTTTCTGCCGCGATTTTTCGTTATTTTCGGCACGAAATTAGGTGGTGTTTTGCTGTTTCGGAACCGCTTCGAAACAGCAGGCCTAGCTGTAATATTGTTTAGGAGATTCTGGGGGATTCGGCCGAAGCAGCTGGCCTAGCAAGGATTCCCGAAGCCGCGATTTTTCGCTATTTTCGGCACGAAATTAGGTGGTGTTTTGCTGTTTCGGAACCGCTTCGAAACAGCAGGCCTAGCTGTAATATTGTTTAGGAGATTCTGGGGGATTCGGCCGAAGCAGCTGGCCTAGCAAGGATTCCCGAACTAGGATCTAGATCTAGATCTAGGATAGATCTAGAGATCTAGATCTAGGATTCTCTAGGATTTCAGAAGGGACGTTAGGCACTTTTTTGGCGTGGTTTTGGAACTAGCTCGTCCTTCTGAGCCATGGTGTTTTCCTGCCGGGAGCTGCTTTTATGCTTTTTTCGAAGTTGTTTTCGGAAAAAGGTTGTTTTTCTAGGATTTCAGAAGGGACGTTAGGCACTTTTTTTGCGTGGTTTTGGAACTAGTTCATCCTTCAGAGCCATGGTGTTTTCCTGCCGGGAGCTGCTTTTATGTTTTTTTCGAAGTTGTTTTCCTGCGAGCGGGCGCAGGCAACAGAAATTCTCGAAAAATGTTGTTTTTCTAGGATTTCAGACGGGATGTTAGGCACTTTTTTGGCGTGGTTTTGGAACTAGTTCGTCCTTCAGAGCCATGGTGTTTTCCTGCCGGGAGCTGCTTTTTTCGAAGTTGTTTTCCTGCGAGCGGCCGCAGGCAACAGAAATTCTCGAAAAAGGTTGTTTTATGTTGTTTTATGTTGTGTTTCTAAGATTTCAGAAGGGACGTTAAGGCACTTTTTTGGCGTGGTTTTGGAACTAGTTCGTCCTTCAGAGCCATGGTGTTTTCCTGCCGGGAGCTGCGTTTATGTTTTTTTCGAAGTTGTTTTCCTGCGAGCGGGCGCAGGCAACAGAAATTCTCGAAAAAGGTTGTTTTTCTAGGATTTCAGACGGGACGTTAGGTACTTTTTTGGCGTGGTTTTGGAACTAGTTCGTCCTTCAGAGCCATGGTGTTTTCCTGCCGGGAGCTGCTTTTTTCGAAGTTGTTTTCCTGCGAGCGGCCGCAGGCAACAGAAATTCTCGAAAAAGGTTGTTTTATGTTGTTTTATGTTGTTTTTCTAAGATTTCAGAAGGGACGTTAGGCACTTTTTTGGCGTGGTTTTGGAACTAGTTCGTCCTTCAGAGCCATGGTGTTTTCCTGCCGGGAGCTGCTTTTATGTTTTTTTCGAAGTTGTTTTCCTGCGAGCGGGCGCAGGCAACAGAAATTCTCGAAAAATGTTGTTTTTCTAGGATTTCAGACGGGACGTTAGGCACTTTTTTAGCGTGGTTTTGGAACTAGTTCGTCCTTCAGAGCCATGGTGTTTTCCTGCCGGGAGCTGCTTTTTTCGAAGTTGTTTTCCTGCGAGCGGCCGCAGGCAACAGAAATTCTCGAAAAATGTTGTTTTTCTAGGATTTCAGACGGGACGTTAGGTACTTTTTGGGCGTGGTTTTGGAACTAGTTCGTCCTTCAGAGCCATGGTGTTTTCCTGCCGGGAGCTGCTTTTTTCGCAGTTGTTTTCCTGCGAGCGGCCGCAGGCAACAGAAATTCTCGAAAAACGTTGTTTTTCTAGGATTTCAGACGGGACGTTAGGTTGTTTTTCTAGGATGTCAGACGGGACGTTAGGTACTTTTTTGGCGTGGTTTTGGAACTAGTTCGTCCTTCAGAGCCATGGTGTTTTCCTGCCGGGAGCTGCTTTTTTCGCAGTTGTTTTCCTGCGAGCGGCCGCAGGCAACAGAAATTCTCGAAAAAGGTCGTTTTTCTAGGATTTCAGACGGGACGTTAGGCACTTTTTTGGCGTGGTTTTGGAACTAGCTCGTTCTTCAAAGCCATGGTGTTTTCCTGCCGGGAGCTGCCTTTTTCGAAGTTGTTTTCCTGCGAAAAAGGTTGTTTTCTAGGATTTCAGACGGGACGTTAGGCACTTTTTTGGCGTGGTTGTGGAACTAATTCGTCCTTCAGAGCCATTGTGTTTTCCTGCCGGGAGCTGCTTTTTTCGAAGTTGTTTTCCTGCGAGCGGCCGCAGGCAACGGAAATTCTCGAAAAAGGTTGTTTTTCTAGGATTTCAGAAGGGACGTTAGGCACTTTTTTGGCGTGGTTTTGGAACTAGTTCGTCCTTCAGAGCCATGGTGTTTTCCTACCGGGAGCTGCTTTTTTCGAAGTTGTTTTCCTACGAGCGGCCGCAGGCAACAAAAATTCTCGAAAAAAGTTGTTTTTCTGGGATTTCAGACGGGACCGGCCGACGCAAAGGGGAGCTGCCCGCAGGCAGCAGCAAACAGCAGGCAACAGGCAGCAGCAGGCAGCAGCAGACACAAGTAGACGCAGCAGCAGTAAGCGCAATGGTAGCAGTGCAGCAGCTAGCAGCACGAAAAATTGCGTTTTTCTAGGATGGCACTAATGGGTGTCAAGAACGTGGGCAAGAGCACGCAAAAGGTGCACATAGCCAGTAGCTAGCAGCCAGCGCCAGTAGCAGCCAGCAGCCAGTAGCCAGCAGCCAGTAGCCAGCAGCCTACCAAAAATCTAATCTAGA